AGAGTGCTCGCCTAGCACATGCAAGGCCCTGGGTTCGATCCTCAGCACCACATAAAAATAAATAAATAAAATAAAGGTATAAAAATAATTTATCAAATATCCTATGTATGAGTTCTAGAGAGATGAATAAAATGTAAGTGTTCACAGCCTGGGGGGTAGATACATGCAAGTGGGTAATCGGGGCCAAGAGTGGGCACCAGAGGAGGAGGGGCAGTCGGGTAGGCTTCCTGGAGGAGGTCCTGCCTGGGCTGGGAAAGGGGGAGCTTATTGGCAGTGGTGGGCATTTCCAGGAAGCAGGAGCAGAGATGCCTGGCCCTCATTTCTGAAACCTACTGCATTAGCTTTCCTCTTTTCATCCTGAAACAAAGGTCAAAGACAGGGCTCAGAGTGGAGGGAAGAGCAATCCCCATGACAACGGTGGGAGAGGATGGTGACCACAGAGATCATGCAGTAGAGGAAAGTCACAGCAGTCTCTGGAAAACTCAGTGGGGTCTCCCAAAAGCCCTGCCAGGAGCTCCCTTGAGTGTGAAGAGGGGTGGAGCTGGTGGCTTTCTCTGCCTGAGCCTTCTTAACATGGTCCAGCTTATGTTGTGGGTCACAGGAGACCTGAATTAATTAATTCTTTCTTTTTTTCCTTTTATTTGTTCTTCTTAGATATACATGGCAGGAGACTGTATTTGACATATCCTACATACACAGCGTATCACTTATTCTAATAAGGATCCTATTCTTATGGTCGTACGTGATGTGGAGTCACACTGGTCGTGTATTCACATATGAACATAGGAAAGTGGTGTCCCATTCATTCCACTGTCTTTCCTACTCCCATTCCCTGCTTCCCTTAGAATTATTTTTGTTATTTGTAATTTTCATACATTTTACAGATTGAGACTTAAGAGATTTTACGTTCTTCCCTGGTGGTAGCTATTCACCCCTAGGAAGCCTGAGACCTTCTGTGGAGTTGAGTGTTGGTGGGCGACACCTTTGCTATCGAGTGTACATGTCCAGCAGAATCTCCTCACTCACGTACTCCAGGAAGCAGGACTGTGGCTTTGTGGTCAGGGCATGGAAGCCACAGACTACTTACAGACTGGCATCTTGAATTATGAAAAAAATCCCACAGACTTATAGAGTTCCAGAGTTGGAGAAAGTGTATTTTTTTTATTATTACATTTATCTTATAGTTGACCGCCTTTTGAAAAACTAGAACATAGGAATTGTCCTCTACTATTCTCATATCTTTCAAGTCCAAGATTGGGGAGCCAAGAGCAGCCTCCTCATGGGGCAGAAGGAGTCCATTGTTTATTTTTTAGAAAATAACTTGGAGGGAAGGGAGATGGGTAGATATGTTTATTGTTGTTTGTTTTTTCTTTTAAAAAATATTTTTTAGTTTTAGGTGAATACAATATCTTTATTTTATTTTATGTGGTGCTGAGGATCAAACCCAGTGCCTCACAAGTGCTAGGCGAGCGCTCTACCACTTGACCCACAACCCAGCCCTTATTGTTATTTATTCTTAAATTTCAATTTATTACTTCGAATATGTTGTGCAGTTGCATAATCAGACCACAGAATATTCAAAAGAACATAAAATGAAGTGTCTGCCACCCTGTCCTCTAGGCACACTGTGCTATCCTCCAGTCACCAGCATTAGTAGTCTTTTGGCTAATCTTCCAGGGCTATCCTCTATGCCACCAGCTGGTGTGTGCACAAGTATATCAGAGGGAGTCCTTCAGAGGCAGAAGTCAAGTGATGCGCTGAATGGACCCTGTGTCTTGGGCTTGAGTGCCCTTTCTGCTTGGAAGGCACAGTGACCCGTGGTGCTGTACATTGAAGCACCTTCTTTTAGCCCGTGGTAGTGTTGCATCCTGCCCACCTGCTGCTTTCTTGGCCTCTCCTGCCAATGTTCTGAGGTAAGCCACCAGCCAGCAGTGAAGACTGGGCTCAGGAACTGGTCACAGAGATGTGGCTCTCCCTCCCCACTGCAAAATGCCACTTAATCTTTCTGGGTTTTTGAGTTCTTTTCATTATAGAGGTTAGGTGTTCCTGTGGTCATTGCTGGCTAAGAAAACAAACCACTAATAGGAAAATGATTTGCTTTGTGCTTAAAAACATTTTTACGCTTTGTTTTGAATATTTAGCTGGCTTACTTTTAGATATTTAACTAAATTTTAGGATTGTAGCCAAATTAAGACCCAGTTTAAGAATGTTATAGCACAAATTTTTGAAATTGACCACTTCATTGCATTACTCGTGATGAGCATTTGAAGAATAAGGGCTGGGTATGGAGCACAATACAGACTGAACATCCCTGAACCAAAATCCAAAATGCTCTGTAATCTGAAGTTGCAGATTTAGTTATAGCATTTTAGATATTAGATTTTTGGATTAGGGATGTCAACCAGAAAGTCTACACAAATATTCCAAAACCCGAAACGCTTTTCATCCCAGGCATTTCAGATGAGAGCTACTCAACCTACATACATTTGATTAACTAGTGATAGTAATGGCAGCCACAAGAAATAATAGCCGCTAATGTTTTAATTAATGTTTATAAGTACTCCCTATGCACCAGCCACTTGATGTTGAATTATCTGCTTGGTTGACAGACGGCCCCTAACTTAGGGACAGAAGTGACACGACACAAGTGAGGTCTGTGAGACCAGAGCTGGCGCCCGCTGCCTCTTACTCATGCAGTGTGCCTGGAGGGAGAGATCAATGGCCAGTGACTGAAGCAGATCATTAAGCAGGGGCATCAAATAATAATGAAAAAACATGCTGTTTTCTTTCTTCCAGAAAAAACTCCCTCTGACAGCTCTCGCTCAGAATATGCAAGAAGCATCCACTCAGCTGGAAGACTCTCTCCTGGGGTAAGAGTCGGCTGCTTTCAGAGAGGAGCGGCTGTTGGATCAGGGAGAAGCGTGGGCTGGTGGTGTTCCAGCACCACCTGTGGAGGGGTGAGGGGCCATGAGCATGGTGGCGTGGCTCATCCGCCAGGAGAAGGCCTCGGCCTTGCAGGAGAAAGTGGGTCTGAGCCTCTGGGTTGCTGGAGAATCTTTTCCTGGGTGTCAGGCCGGAGTGGTGGTAGAGCCACTAGCATAAGTAGCTGATGGGGGCTGAGGATATGCCTCAGTGGTAGAGCAAACTGCCCAGTAGGAGGGAAGCCCTGGGTCCAAAGCACTGCCCCCCCCCCAAAAAAAAAAAAAAAAAAAACTCACCAGTGACAGGGTCGTGTTTATTCCCCTAAGCCTGGGGTATGAACAACGGGCTCCCTTCCCTGTTCCAGGTGTCAACTTAAACTCTCTCAGTGCCTTTCAGTGCCTTTAAGGGTGGTCACCAAAATATCAGTGGTGGGTGTTCCAAAATAGTGTATTTTCTGAACTAGTTAGATTTTCCTTGGTTGTTTCATCTTAAAACTTTATGTCTGACTTATCTTTCTTTTTTTTAAATACTTTTTTATTTTTAATAGACACATAATTACGCATGTTTATGGGGTACAGTGTGTCATTTGAATACATGTACAGTGTGTGCTGATTGTATCTGTCACCTCAAACAGGTGTCATTTCTTTGTGTTGGGAACATTTAAAACCCTCTCTACTAGCTCTTTTTAATTTTTTTTTTTGAAGTTGTAGGTGGACATCATGCCTTTATTTTATTTGTTTCTTTTTATGTGGTGCTGAGGATCGAACCCAGTGCCTCACACGTGCTAGGCAGGCGCCCTGGCCCTGAGCCCCAGCTTCAGCCCTGTTCTAGCTCTTTTGAAATGTACAACCACTTGCTAGCCATAGCTGCCCACTGCGTCCTAGGACACAGGACACAGGCATCACCCCCCTGCCCAGCTGCCCTCCTGTGCCTGGCAGCCATCCCCCTTCTCCCTCCTCCCCCAAGGGCTGCATTTTGGTCACAGGGGCCTTGCGTCACATAGTGAGTCTGGCAGGAGCAGTCTGGGTTGTGCGGTGTGCACCTTCCCCCACTGCCCTCCAGTCTGCCCTGTGTTGTAGCAGGGCCCTGCCTCCTGCTGCCACGGTCTTTGGGTTTCACCGCCCTAGCTCTGTTGTTCCCACTCTGCGCCTTCTCTTGTCCTGTCTGAACTTCCACATTTGAGAGCACTGGCCCTGGGAGGATGGCATGTGCCCACCCCTGCTCCCTCAGGCTTGAATGTGTCTCCATGTTGCGCTCCCTTTATCCTCTTGCCATTGTCCTCACACCAGAGCGCCAGCCCTGTGCTGAGTGTGTTCCCAAAGAATAGCTCGCTTAATCCCCCAAACAACCTGGGAGGTAGGTAACATGAATGCTCCCACTTTACAGATGTGAACCTTGGCCAACAGAGAGGGTAAGAACATTGCCAGAAACCACAAAGAAAAATAGCAAAGCCTGTGTTCAAACTCAGGCAGCTTAACTTTGACACCATGGCTACCTCACAGCAGGCTGTACACTTTCTGGTGCCAAAAGAACTTACAGGGAGCTGGAGGGGCAGGGCAAAAAGGAAAGGAGACAAGGGGACCAGCGACAGTGGAGTTGCATCATTTGCATGTACACATATGACAGCAGCTGTGTGTTCACAGGAGAACAGCAAACGTGAGGCTCATGTGACTGGCCCTTCCGTGTTGGCCAGCCACCTCATCTGCACAGAAGAATCAGCCTTTGCATTAATTCTGGAGGATACGCCACTAAGGCTACACTCACTAGCAGACGTGAAACTGTGGTGTACTTTATGTCTCCTTTAGAAGACTTCCAGGGTAACTTGAGAACACTTGATTTTTCACCTGACATGAGAACCTAGTTCTTCAGTTGCGACCTCACAATTCACACCCCCACCTCCTCCCAGCACAGGGTCCACACCCGAGATAATCATCTTCATTTTAAAGCACAAATCTGTAGACACACGTTTTTAGGGGAAACCCTGAATGTATAATATTTTAAGGGCTGTTGGGCAGCTCTCTGCTGTGATCCTGCCACATGGCAAGCAGAGTGGCGGCCACAGCTTAACTGGTGCTGGCCTGTTGGCTGTCTTGTCTCTGAAGGAAGATGCTGGAGACCTGCGGAGACGCTGAGCACCAGCTGGCTCTGGAGCTCTCTCAGCACGAGGTCCTCATTGAGAAGGAGATCGTGGACCCTCTCTATGGCATAGCAGAGGTGGGTGCTTGTGCCCTGGACACAGAACCGAGGCTGGCACGGGCTGGGCGGTGAGCGCATCTTATGTCTGTAGGGTTAACAGAGATCAGCCGCTCTTTTAGGAAACATTTGTAAATAAATTAAAAATCCAAAGTGCACCTCATTTGATATGTTCTTCCCTCTAGGTGGAGATTCCCAACATCCAGAAACAGAGGAAACAGCTGGCTAAATTGGTGTTGGACTGGGACTCGGTCCGAGCCAGGTAAGGTGAAGTTGTCAAGGTGGCCACTAATGCAATACTATTATGTCACCTCCCTAGAGTCACTCACCCTACCACGGACAAGAGAAAGACTACTAGTAGAACAAGATGGCTCTGTTGAGAATCACAGATAGGGCCGTTGCCCCAGTCACAGCCTGCCTACCTTCCTCCGGGTCTCATTCTCCCAGCATGGCGGAGGGGTGTTGTTAGAACATTCTGTCCTTACGAGCCACAGTGAAAGGAAACAGAAAATAAGCAAAGTTAAGTAAATGTATTTAGCAGGAGGAGGGGGCTGCCATTCTAAGAACATAACTCTTGGAATTGTGGAATATAAAATAAACAGGACCCGCCAAGTCACAAACTTCGTGTACCTATAATTACCCTTCATGATCAAGAAATGCTGCCCTCGGGAAGCAGGGTCTCATGTAACCCAAGTAACTAAGTCCACAAGACTGTGACCTATGAGTTGATGTCTTTAGTGGAGTGTGAGATGGTCCCTGGCAGGACTGCCTCCACCATCTGCTCTTGATGGCGTTTGTATCAGTGATTGGCAGGCTTTCTTCTTGGGCATATGAGAACTGGAAATAGGGAGACAACCACCAGCAGATGAGGCCATTCTCAAATTTCATTACAATGGCTGACAAAATTCTTCCATAAAGGGCCAGACAGTAAATATTTTTGCGACCCCGATGTCCTCGGTATAACCCCATAACTCTGCTCTTGTAGCATAAAAGCAGCCATGGGTTGCTTGCAGGAGGCTCTGGGTTCTATTCCTAGCACTGCAAAAAATAAAAGCAGACATGGACAGTGCATAAATGAATGAGCTTGGCTGTAAATCAGGTGACCATGCTGACCCTTGCTTCATCAGATCTTTCCGCCTTCCTTGCAGTTCTGTGAAGGACATGTGATCGGTTTTGCTTGGCAGGAACATGGGGATCAGCTACCATTGGAGTGCTTCTGAGCCAGGGGCTTTGTCTGCAGAGTTGGGAGCGGTTGTGATGACTCTTCATTCCCTTATTTCTCAGATGCCACTGAGTCTTGGATGTATCACTGGTTTAAAATCCACTGGTTTTGGGAAAAAAGCAGCCCAGGACATGAAATGTACAAACCAGTTATTAAAAAATGTTGTTATTTAAGCCTCTTTGAAATGACAAAAGATCCATGTGGGCATTCTTGTAGGATGAAGATAGTCATAGTGCAGTGGTCAACTACGAGGGTCACTTACCGGGTGCTTGCCATGTGCTGAGCATCAGTACATTGGCTCAATTCTTCTCCAATCCTGTTCATTTGCTTTGTTTTCAGCAATCAATTGTGCAGACTTCGTGCTGGACACTAAATGCAGAGGTCCCTCTATGCGAGCTGGGGAGGAAACAGGGCCTGGGGCCAATGTGATATCCCCTAATTTTAAGAAGAGACTTGTTTTACAGTCAAGGGACTTGTATACTTCATCTGTCTGACTTTCTTCATGCCTTAGAATAAATGGCAGAGTAGGATTCGGACAGCACCGTCTGCCGTCTCCTTATCATGGGGATGTGTGTCATTAGAATTCTGTGTGACAGGACTGCAGCAGAGACTACAGGCTGTTATGTTGTGCATTTTTGCTCAAGAGAAGGAAGAATGTTCTAATGAGTAATTAAATAAGGCTGTGATTAAACAATGCTCCCACACTGGAGTTGGTTGAGCAATATTATAGATGTTCTACCTGCCAGGAATTATACATCTCAAGTATGTGTATCCCAGAGAGGATTTTAAGGCTGACTCTTTTTTTAAAAAAATAACTTTATTTATTTATTTTATGTGTTGCTGAGGATTGAACCCAGTGCTTCACAGTGCTAGCAAATGTTCTGCCACTGAGCGGCATCCCTGCCCTCAATGCTGATTCTTGATCTTATTCACTCTTGTTACCCAAAGTAGGTGTTGGAGACATGGAAACAGTTGGATGTTTCTTCTTTACTTTTACTTACTTTTCCCTATAGGAAAATGATAAGAACTAATGGTAAGCAGGAGTCCATTGTATGCACACCTGTGTTTGATTTCTCCTTCCCTCCTCACAGCAGTTCTGCAAGGCAGACAGTGCTCATCATCTCAGTCTTACTGAGGAGGACCCTGAGGCCGAGAGAGGCTAGGTTACTAACGAGGTCACAGGTGGTTCAGTTGGAGCCGCATGGTGGACTCTGAAGCCCACGTATTTCTGAAACAGCATCGCCAGTGTTGCCTTGGCAGCCTTGCCGAAGCCTTTTGGTGTACCGCATCAGCAGTGTGAAGTGGACACAAGTTGTTTTGGGGGCAATACAACAGTCTGGGAAGTTTGAGGAGTTGCTAGTGTGGGTCTTCGTGCTGCAGCTATGTAATATCTGTGTTCAGATTTGAAGTGTTAGAACTTTACGTAGCAGCAGATGTATTCCTGTACAAACAGAAGGTCAAAGCACATTTGAAAACCCTGGTCTTTGATTATTCTTCTTCACCTGTCCCCCTGTTGTTACTGTATGTGTTTCTAATGCCCCCATAACTATATTATTGAAAGGTAGTTCTGATAAGAGCCAGAACGAAAAATAATCCCAGGTCAAGATATTAGGAGAATGCATCATAAGCAGTCTTCAAGAGTAGGATTTGGTTCCCAGGGGCACAGGGGACATTCCAGATCAAAGCAGGAGAGCAAGAGGTGCTCTGTAGCAAGGATTCCACAACTGGGCACTATAGGAAAGACAATCCACAGATGGCTTTCCAGCACAGGGGTTTGTGTGAGCAGGTGTCTTGGGTTATGCTCAAAGCAAACTTCAGCCCCAGCAGTAGGGGAACCCTGGCATGGAGGAAGCTACTGTCTGCTAAACTCAAAAGAAGCAGCCATCCTGGGTACTGATCAGATCCCAGGTACAGTCAGTGTGGGCGAAGGCTTGCTCTCCTTAGGTCCTGACCCTGCAAGGTTGAGTATGTATACCTAGTTCTCAGACTGGCTACCCCTTTGTTTTGCAGGTGGAACCAAGCTCACAAATCTTCAGGAACCAACTTTCAGGGGCTTCCATCAAAAATAGATACCTTAAAGGAAGAGATGGATGAAGCTGGAAATAAAGTAGAACAGTGCAAGGTACAAGAATTCCCTAATAAATATAACACGTGTCAATTTTTTTTTGGCAAATGATGAATAAAAGCCAAATATTGCAAATTATTTAATGTTTTATATAACTTCCATCAGAATATTCTGAATGATATTAAAAGTAGTTTTATATTCTTTATTTTTCAAGACTATACTATTTTATAATCAAAATAAAACATTATTTAAAAGTATTCAAGTGGGGTATATTAAAAAACTTGACTAAGCTTATTTAAAATAAAGATCACAGTTTTAAACAAAATCATTGCAAGACAGTACATAAAGTTATGATAATTAAAACTATATAATAGGTATAAAAATATAAAAGTAAAATTGTATAGGTTTACTAGAACAGGTATTATAAGATTTAGCCAAATGCAGTGGTGCATGCTTATAATCCCAGTGATGTAGTAAACTGGGGCAGGAGGAACTCAAGTCCAAGGCCAGTCTTAGCAACTTAGACTCTGTTTCAAAATGAAAAAGGATGGGGGGTGTAGCTCAGTAGTAAAGTGCCCCTGGATTCAATCCCGAAGCCAAAAAAATACCAAAAATTTTTTTAAATTAAAAACAAACAAGTTCTAAATTAATTAGTTGGTTAAGTGATCTTATTCTCTATGCATCTATCAATGTGTATATATATATGTGTGTGTGTGTGTGTGTTTTATTCCAAATACTATTCAAAATGGTAAAAAACTGGTCTTCAGTGAATTTGAGAATTCAAATTGAGATTGAGAATGAGTGTCCTAGAGAGTATTTATTACCAATTCAGGTCTTTTTTTTTGGGGGGGGGTACTAGAATTGAACCTAGAGGTGCTTCACCACTGAGCTACGTCCCCAGCTCTTTTATTTTTCTGAGACAGGGTCTCACTAAGTTGCTTAGGGCCTTACTAAGTTGCTGAAGCTGGCCTTGAACTCAAAATCCTGCCTCAGCCTCCCAAGTTGCTAGAACCATAGGCATGCCCCACTGCACCCGGCTCAGATCTATTTTTTTTTAATGTTTATTTTTTAGTTTTCTGTGGACACACATCTTTATTTTATTTTTATGTGGTGCTGAGGATCGAACCCAGTGCCCCATGCACACCAGGAGAGTGTGGTACCGCTTGAGCTACATCCCCAGCCCCTCAGATCTATTTTTAATCAAACTTTTTCAGTTGGGAATTTCCTGGGCTGTAAATATAGTAAATTCAAACTTTAATCCCTCATAAAAGCAGGTCTGTTTTTGAAATTGCAAGGGCTTTGTTTTTCTTTCCTAGATTCAGAGCCCAATACAAAATACTTAAAGTTCCCTAAGATTTCCATGTGCTGATGAGTAATTTGTTTTGACCTCCCTCTGTTGAGGGTAATTCTTTGGGAATCTTACCTTTGTGTGTAATAGTGTCTGCACTGCTTCCTTGCTCACCATGCCTCAGGCTTCATTTTTGCTGGCCCCATGTGACAGCCAGGTCCACACACCTTGGCCCACCGTGGTGGCACAGATCAATCCAGGTCATTTCCAGCTTCCATTCATGCCATTCATGCTGAGCTTTCTGACTTTTTGTTTCTTTTTTCCTTCTCTTTTTTCTGTTGGGGGAGGGAGGGCATGGTGGGGAAGGTGGTTATGCTGCTCTTGCTTTCCCAATTATTCTGAAAGGATTTTACATACAACTGGAATTTCCAGGTTTATCATGAACGAAAGGGTCTTCACATTAATTTGCATAATTTCATGTCAAAAATAGAAAGTGCTGTGGCTGTAACTCAGTGGTAGAGCGCTTATCTGGCATGTGTGAGGCACTGGGTTCGATTCTCAGCACCACATGAAAATAAATAAATAAAGACATAGTGTCCATAAATAGAAGGCAGGACATTTTTAAAAGTTCAAAACAAACAAGGTAGGTGTGTGTGTGTGTCTGTGTGTATGTATGTATTTTCCAATTTATGGTTTTCTATGTATAGGTAGAATTCCTATACACATGTGTATATACACATATAAGATTAGAAATGTATATTCAATGGCTTGATTAATAAATCATTTAATTTTACAAAAGTAATTATTTTATATTAGTTCAAATATTGAAAAGTGTAAAACAGTAAACAGTGAGGAGTGAAGTCTTTCTTCCACCTTTCTCCTTCCTCTGCCTATCAGAAGAAAACTGCTCTTTCTAATATTTGTTTTTTAATCCATTTTTTTTTTCATTTCTTTTTTATGGTGCTGGGGATTGAACCCAGGGCCTTGTGCATGCAAAGTGAGCATTCTACCAACTGAGCTACATCCCCAGCCCTCTAGGTTTTTTGTTGTGGTGGTGGTTTTCAGGACTGGGGGCTAAGTTCCAGCCTTATGAATGCTAGGCAAGTGCTTTTCCACTGAGCTGCATCCTAGAATTTTATTTTGAGACAAGGTTTTGCTAAGTTGCCTAGCCTGCCTCAAACTTGAGATCCTCCTGCCCTAGCCTCCCAAGTAGGTAGGATTACTAGGGTCACCACCATGTCTGACCTTCCAGACATACAGCAATAAAAATATACTTTTTCTTCTCACTTTTTTTGAGGGGATAGGGGGATGTTGGTGATTGGACCCAGGGACACTTAACCAGTCCCTTGTATATTTTATTTTGAGATGGGGTCTCGTCAAGTTTCTAAGGCCTTGCTTAGTTGCTGAGATTGGCCCCAAACTTGTGACCCTGACTCAGCCTCCCAGATTGCAAGGATCATGGGCATGCACCGTGGCACCTGACTGTCCCCGTCTTCTTTTTCCTCAGCTGGTAACAGGCCCTGAGCGGTGCTGTGTGCCTTTGCTTCCTGACAGCACCTGAACAGCATGCTCTGGAGCTTGCGGCACAGCAGCCCTTCATGTGTTCTTGCTGTCCCCATGTGTGCTTGTACAGTTAGCTGAAGACTTCAACCTGTGCCTCTCTTCATTACCTTTTGGTCTGAGAACTCACAGAGACTCTCCTCAGTTACCATTTTCTTTCACTTCTTTTCAATGACAGATCTTCTCTTTTCTTACTTAGGATCAACTTGCAGCAGACATGTACAACTTCATGGCCAAGGAAGGGGAGTTTGGCAAATTCTTTGTTACGGTAAGTACCTCCCATTGACAAGGTATTAACCTGTTGTAAAAAATTGAGTCATCTTAGCTATTTTGCAAAAGAGTTTGTTTTTAGTTTGCTCAGCCATTGTGTTGTGTCCATCCAATGCTAACGTGACTTTTGTTTTTGAATGTGGGTCTGTTCTCAGTTATTAGAAGCCCAAGCAGATTACCATAGAAAAGCATTAGCAGTCTTAGAAAAGGCCCTTCCCGAAATGCGAGCCCATCAAGGTAATGTAACTGCGTGTGGCGATGCCTCCTCCTGCCTCTGCCCCTTCTGCCTTTCTTCTTCTTTGCCCTGAGTCCTTTGCATGCATTCCTTTGGATTTAGCCTCTCTGCTAGGAGGGTATATGTCCCAACATAATTTCATCTTTCTTGCAGCATTCTCTAATTCCTTCCAAACCCAAATTAACATACTAATGGAACATTTGCTATTCTTCTGAAACCTTCATTCAGTTGAAGGTAAAACTGGCTCCTTTGGGGAGTGTGCATATGTATTTCTGTCTTCTGTTGGCTTGAATAATTCTAGCATCTAATTATGCTTTTCCAAATCAATCATTTGTTGGGCTTCATTCTGGCCCTGTGACTCAAAGAGCATCCATTCTAGGGAAACTTTATTTCAGATTTTCCAGGAGAGAATATTATAAGCCGGTCTTCAATGCTACCTCATTGATCACTCAGTGTGACGAATCACCAGACACCAACCGCTCTTTTCAAACCCTCTCTGTCTTTTCTCTTGTTCATATTAGCACTAATATTTTGCTAAATTATTCAAGCAAATGGCAGATATATGCCCGGATCATGCGTGGTTTGATGTATTTAAGCTTTTATAGCTTTGACTCTACCTCTCTTACTTACCATCAGGGTGTTTGCCAGCAGACAGGCAGCAATTGCTCTGTTGTGTTTGGGTCTAGTACTCAGAAGTCATCCTTTGTTTTCCATGGGAACATTGGCTCCAGGACCCCTTTCAGAGACTCAAATCCTTAAGTGAAATGGTATAATATTTGCACATAACCTACCTACATTCTCCCCTAAACTCCAAATAATCTCTGAATTACTTGTAATACACATTACAATGTAAACACTGAAAAAATAGTTGTCACACTATATTATTTAGGAATAATAGCAAGAAAATAAAGTCTATACATGCTTAGTTCAGAATAGGGATCCGTGTACACACACACAGACAGACACACACACACACACACACACACACACACACACACACACACACACACACACACGCCGGTTGTCAATCTGTAGTTGGTTGAGCCTGTAAATGCAGAACCCATGTATACAGAGGCTGACGGTTTTGATTGTGATGTAGACCTGATGTGTGGAGTCTTGGTTCTCCCTGCAGAATCCTCAGTTTTGAGCGGAAAGGGGATCAGGCCAGGTGCTGAATATGGTGACCACATAGTTGTGCAAGAATGTGGGCAGGAGTGTGGGTGCTCTGTGGGTGAGCGCATAGGCATCCTCAAGGAAGAAGTGTCATTTCCACTGAACTTCAGGAGGTTACAACAGGTCCTGGTTGTGAGCCTGGAAGTTTTTAGATGATAGAATTAGAAGATTCTCTGTCTTGACTGGTAGGGCTTCAACAGTCTCTGGTTCTGTTCCGTGTGTCTGTTCTTCACAGGACAATTTACCCTCATTTTCTTAAATCATCTAATTTTCCAGTTTGTGGATGATGGTACTGAGTCACTGTGACATTCAGGCTTCTGAGGGACAGACTCTTACCGGGCAGACTCGAGACCCAAGAGCATGTATTTATGAGATAGCCACTGTGGGTTGGGCCCTGCCTGGGGCACAGTAGCAGACTCCATCATTCAGCCTTTGAGGGGCTAAAGTTCTTGCTATAGGAAGATTGTGTAACTTGACCCCAGCTCCCCATGCCCCTGGGGACCATTCAGTGCTCTTGACGGTTATGGGGACTTGCCTGTCCTGACAGGGCACCCTGTTATTCTTGGCCTCCTTCCTTCCTCTGTAGGCCATTTGACTCCTCTCCCCTAGCCACCCGTGTTCTCACCCCCTTCCCGCCCCTAGCCCTTTGCTGTCTGGATTCTACCCCACTCTGCTATTTAAAAAAAAAAAAAAAATTACGATTCCCAAGGAACGTTTTGCCAGATGCTGGCATTTGACATGCCCTGGGCATCTCTTCCTTGTTAAAATTTCTTTCCTCCTGCCCCTTGATTGTCTGCTTTCATTGGTGGGACTCTGTTTCTTCACTTGTGTTCCCATCCGAGGTCAGCCTGGCTGGGATCTGTCCTTGCTCCAGGGCTCTTCTCCCTGTCCACTTGCCCCTTTTCCCTGGGAATCCCCTCCTCTGCATCTTAAATTTCTGTTCCTCTGATGCAGCTTCCCTTCAGCTCAGGGATCTGACTCCAGCTATGGTTGTCCCCTCCGTGTCCCCTCAATGCTACCTTCTCCAGACCATCCAGCTCTGAAGCCTTGGTGCCACTCCCCTTCCTCTTACCTGACTCCTGGGCTTCGTCCATTTCACCCTGTGCTCTGCCTTCCTCTGTGTCCCCATGCCCCTCTGTCCCCCTCTGCTCTGTACTCTCATCTCCTTGGTGGGAGCTTTGGGATGAGTTGTGTCTCCAGACTCACAGTCCTTGGTCTTTCGCAGCCTGTTGCCCTCCCCAAGATGTGCTTGCCTGCTCTTGATCAGTTAATCTCGCCATCTTCTGGGACCTTTCCAAGCTTGCTCACTCTGAGAAGCCTTCTCTGACCACCAAAGCCAGCAGTAAATGCTTTGTCTCCTGAATTGTTCTCGTGTTGATGATGTGTACCAGAAGTCACAAACAACTGCATCTCATTAAAAATAAATTATTTTTTAATTAGTTGCCATCATGTGAAAACCAGATGCCTTTGTGCAGCAGTCCCGATTGTTGCCTTCTCTTGGAGGCTTAGAAGGCCTGGTGCTACTGGGTCTGCTGCCCTGCCCAGAGACATTGGTCTGGCCCCAGGAGTGGCTGCTGCTGCCCTTGCAGACCATGGCTGTTCAGCCTGGTTCACGCACCTGGGCGGCCTGTGTGGTCCCTGTAGACACTGTGTTTTCGACTCTTGTCTATACCATTGACCTGCCATGACTTAGCAAACTGTCACGTCTTGTTAGTGACTGTTACACATTTCCATGTATGTCTTGTATTATCTTCACAATTCGATTGCTCTCATGCTGGGGGGGAGTCCCTGACAACTTGGGTGTCCACTGCAGTGCCTGGCACGTAGTAGGCCTGTTGTTTGAAAGGGTAGCACTTGTGCTGGAGTTTGCCATGGGAGTTGTCTCTAGGGCCATGTTCTCACTTGCACCCGCTGCCCACATTACACCAGGGTGAGGGGTGGGGCATGCTCTGTTCAGTGTTTACTAGAAAGTTCTAGCTGATGATGGGAGCATGCCCACTTCTCAGAATCTTGGGGTTGGGCATGTGGTGGAGATGATGGCTGGTGTCATGTGCAGAAGTCCCCTGATGATTCTGGTGTATCCCCCAGGAGAGGGCTCATGTGGCCATTCTCAGAATCATTTCTTCAGATAAAAGGGACAGAGTACCAGGGAGAGATCTGAGTGTCATAGAGCTCTGTCTTCTGGGAAGGGTCAGCCCCCCAAGAGGCTTTTTCTGTTAGAATTTCCCCTGGGGCTGGAGTGGGGCCAGGTCAGAGGTGAAGGGCTCCTGCAGTTCTGAGGGTGGCAAGTGGCTGGCTCTTGGCCTCTCCTGCCCTCGCCTCTGCTCTTCAGTCTGTCCCCACTTGCTCTTCCCGTTAGTTTTTGTCTGTCATGAGCTCTCAGGCCCATGGATTTGGTTTTCTTCCTTCCCCTGTGTGCAGACTGTGTGAGGCCCTGTCCCCTCCACGAGGTAGGTGAAGGTGTAAGAGAACGCACTAGAGTCAGTCATTGCCTTCTTCAAACCAGCCTTCTACAGCAGAGTGACTGGACAGATGCCCACTGGGGGTGCCGAGCAGGATGGACAGATCCAAGTGCTTCTCTGAGCGTTTTCTCCCAGTGGGCTTTCCCCCTGGACCTCTGTGTGCTTCCCAGAAGCTCTAGATCTCGGCCGTTCCCACAGGCAGGCAGGCCACACCAGCCAAATCCTTCTTATTCTCATTCAGCATATCCATTTTATGAATTCTTCTTTCTGTTTGACTGCCTTATTGTATGTATTTCTGCTAAGCTGCTCAAATCTGTTGTGGAATGAAGCAGGCATATGACCTGACAGTACCTGAAGTCCTGCTGGGTGCCGTCACGGCAGCCTGGCCTGTGCTGCTTGGAAGCCACAGATGGTGTAGTCTTTCTACTCTGAATGCCTTGGACCTGCCCGGGAATGCGGCGTTCTGAAGCCCTGCCTGTCGTGGAGATGTCTTATTTGACACAAGTTCGCCTGACCATCTCCAGTCGAGAGAAAGAAGCACTTGACTCATGTTTGACATTTTAAGAAATGGTTTTCGTTTTCACATTCAATGAGTCTATTTCTTCTCCTCTAGCTGGGAGGCCAGTGCTGCTCTGCATGGCTAGAATAAGTTTCTTTTCAGTGAAAACAATATGTTCAGATGCATCCTCTGTTTTCATGCAAGGCCACCAGCCACTGTGTGTTGACAGCACGTGGTACAGGTGCAGGGGCACTGTGGTCGCTCCTGCTGGGCAGCTAAGCTTGTCCTTGGTGTTGTGTGTGTGTGCACTCAGGGCTTCTGTTCCACAAGGGACTGCTCTAGCTTGGCACACAGTCTGTGCTGTGGTAAATGGTAAATAACAAAAGCAGATAGCACAAGTGCTTCCCTCTTTCCCAGAGCCCCAGCTACCATTCTGTTAGAAGATCCTCTTTGGGGTTTTGAGGAGAACATGATGGTGATGCATGGGGTCACCAGATGTCTTACTGACCTGTTTGCTGCTCTAGATAAGTGGGCAGAAAAGCCAGCCTTTGGGACACCTTTGGAAGAGCACCTGAAGCGGAGTGGGCGTGAGATCGCGCTTCCCATCGAAGCCTGTGTCATGCTGCTCCTGGAGACGGGCATGAAGGAGGAGGTGAGGGTGCCTGGGCTGCATGCCAGGTCTCTGTGCCCCCTCTTCTGCCCATAGCACGATGCCACCCCTGCCCCACCACTTTTCTTACACAACCACTGCTGGGATTGTATAGAATGGTGTTTTCAAATTTTTGTCACCATGACCTACATTTTAGATTGAGACCCTATATATCAAACCTGTTATATATAATAAGTGAAGCACATTTCACAGAGCAATTTTTATTTTTTCTGTTTCTTATATACTCTATTTGCTGTCCTGTTTGTTTCATTGTAAACTGTTCATTAATTGGCAGTCATGGATTCCATGATGCATGAATGGATCAGAGCTCCCGTGAGCTTTAGTTTTTTAAAGTAAGCGCCTATAGCAAGAATCTCACATCTGTATAGTGCTATACAATTCGTGGGGGAGCAGCTCTTGGGGATTGATCTCAGGGGCACACAATCACGGAGCCACATCCCCAGCCCTATTTTATATTTTTTTATTTAGAAACAGGGTCTCTGTGAGTTACTTAGCACCTCACTTTTGCTGAGGCTGGCTTTGAACTCGTGATCCTCCTGTCTCAGTCTCCTGAGCTGCTGGGATTACAGGTGTGTACCACTGCACCTGACTATGCAATGTTTTTTTAAAGAGAGTACATTTATGTATTTTATGGCATCATTACAAAAAAATAAAATAAAAATCCCTAGGAACCCAGCAGGTAGTTCTCACTCCTCTCCCTGTGTAGGTAGGGATGTCAGCACACAGGAAGTTCCCATCTGGGCAGAGCCAGAGGCAAAATACAAGTCTTTTTTTTTTTTTTTTCCTTTAAAAAACACTTATTGATATATAACAAACATATAGAAAAGTGTGCATTATTGTGGGTGAGCAGCTTGGTGAGTTTTCACAGAATAAACTGACTGATGCACTCAGCACCCAGATCAAGGCCGCTTGTTTACTTCTCACAGTGCAACCTAAACTTTGAGTGCCTAAGCCTGGTGCTTCTCATCTGAGGCCAGCTCTGGTCTCTAGGAGCCATGTGCAATCTCTGGAGACATTTTTGGTGGTTATCTGGCATCGGGAGGGCTCTGGTTGAACCTGCTGCAGTGCCCAGGACAGCTCACAGGAAAGAGTCGTCAGGAGCACCGAGGCTGGACCCTGCCCTGTCTTTAACTCCTATAACCCTCGTGCGCCCACCTCTCTTGGTTGAGGCTTTATGTGTTTTTCTCCTTTTCCAAAGTCACATTTAGGGCAGAGAAAGTGAATAGCATTATTTCTTAACAGTTTTTCTTGAGATGTCAATTAAAAAAAAAAAAAAAAACTTCCTAAATTGGTCGGCATTGTGGAAGCATAAATCTTGAGGAAGTCAAAGAGCTTCCAGACGGAGTTCTGACAGGTGCAGGTGTTTAGTGAGGAGGCAGGCAAGTGCAGGCATCGGAGGGAAACCGGCTCCCTTATGCTGTCTCCGAGCCCTGTGTGTGCCCTCGGCCTCTCCACCTCCAGGGCCCTGTGAGGCCGCACTGCGGCTGCTCTCAGAGGTGGTGGTGGCAGTGGTTGAAGCTCCATTGGCCATGCTGCTGTCCCTGGCTGTCACTCACCACCTGAATTTCATGCTCGAAATTTGTCTTTGTCTTCAGGGCCTTTTCCGAATCGGGGCTGGAGCCTCCAAGTTAAAGAAGCTGAAAGCCGCTTTGGATTGTTCTACTTCTCACCTGGACGAGTTCTACTCAGACCCCCATGCTGTAGCAGGTGAGCGTCAAAGAGGGTCTGCAGATCCAGCTGCCCTCCAGGTGGTGGAGATCAGCACTTAGGACTCCAGTTTCAATTAGAGGTTGAAGTGACAAAACGATAAAATGTCATTCTGATAAAATTCCCTGATGTGTGATGTAACATACAACTCTTCTCCTTTTTATTGTTTATTGTTGTGTGTACCCCCCACCCCGCCATTAAACAGAGGTAAAGGGAGCTTATGTATGATGTGGATATGTTTAGACATACTCGGGTTCCCTCTTTCACCCTTACAACCCACATCTACCTGGCTGTTAGAGGGTGACGTTAACGTTCATCTTATTTTCTCCTGGTCTCTCAATATATTTTTGCAAGGGACTGAATGCCTTTTGTGAACATGTCATTCCCTAACCCAAATTATGGTTTGTCTTATGCACCTTGGAAGATCGTAATTGAGATATTTTCGATTTGCAAAATGTTATGCCCTGAGAGATTTCTGGCCTTGCCTTGCTTACTCAGAATGTGAACGCTTTCAGGTGCTTTGAAGTCCTACCTACGGGAATTGCCTGAACCTCTGATGACTTTTAATCTGTATGAGGAGTGGACACAAGTGGCAAGGTAAGTTTAAAGAAAACAAAGGTTGTAAGTCATTTCCCCCCAGGTATCATAACATTAAAATAGTAAGCTTGTTAAGTCATGTGTCCCAGTTCTGTTTATATTAGAGTAAAACTATTGAGTGTTACTGTTATTACTACAGAAAAGTCACAGCTTAGGCATTGGTTTATGTTTGGGAGACTTACATGGTTGAAGATTGATTTTATCTACATTGATGAACTGGCTGATTTCAAATCCCCTTCCTATTGAAGAAAGCCCTGTAACTGGGGCCAGGTATCACAGGTGACTGAGTGGCAGTTGTGCCTGTCAAGCTGCCTATAGGTTCAGCTGTGCAACCATGTAATAGGGACATTATTAGCACTAGTTAATGTTCACTGAGTGTTTACCAGGTGCCCAGGACTGCCCTCACTTTACACCTAGTACCTCTTGGAATCCTTATTTAGCATCATTAAAGGCTGATGTTATTGCTGTCCTCATTTTACAGACAGAGGGACTGGGGCTTGGGAAGGAGTAGGGCCAGGTAGTAGCAAGTTATTGGCAGACTGCTGACCCAGATCTGCTGACCCAAAGGCTGTTCTGTGTCCCTTCCCCTCCACCCCAGCTTTACCATCTCCAGCAATCATTGGTCCTAAGCAGGATCAGCCTTGTTTAGAGCATCGCAGCAGCTTCTCCTCGCCCAGCTAGCCACCTCCACAGTGCTTTCCCCTCAGGGTTCTGGCTCATTTCCTAACCTAAAGGCCTAAGTCCTCACCATTTAAGGGAAGAGGAGCAAATCTCACCTCCATTGCTGTCCCCTTCCCCCATCTGTAGACACAGTCACTGTTCCTGTCATGCAAGCTGTTATGACCGTAAGCCATTTGTTCTCATCCGTTACATTTGGGTAGACTGTGAGTCCATCCCGTGTCCCTTCATCCAGATCTGTGTATTTGAGCTTTTCTCTGAAATTGTGAAATGAGAGACTTTACCCTAGCGGATGGTGAGGTTTTTAAGTTTAGAGAGGTTTTAAAGTTCTTAAACTTGTCAAATCTTTGGAACCCAGCCTGGGCCTGTCCTGCAACTGAATTAAATGAACCCAACAGTCAGTGCCAGGTGGGGACAGAGGTGCGGTTTCTTTTACTGGGTGGCCTCTTTAAATCATCTTAATATCATATCTCATTTCTATTCTAAGACTTCAAAACTCTTAAGGGGAATAACTCTGTGAAAGAGGTGTCTGTCTTGCTGTATCAACTCATGTAGTTGAGAACTGCCAACATGGCCTCCATTCTGGTGGCTCCTGTACTGGGATCTGAGGTATTCAACCTCTTTCCTGTGACTCACCAGAAAGTGTGGTCAGCTGCTAGCACTCTCTTTCCTAGTGTGCAGAATTGACTTGCTCCAGGGCTCTGCTCCATCCCCTTTTGGTCTCTGAAAGTTTGTGTTTAGAACAGTATAGTGCAAGAGCTATTGTAACTGTTTCCCAGCAGAATGGATTTCTTGGCTTGGAGCCTTGAAGCAGATTAGTGATTAAGACGTCTCCAGAAGTCCGGGTGCCTGGGCACTTGGCGACTGATCTGTGGCCAAACTGCACATGGATAAGGAAAACCACCTACAAATCTACACATTGCCTAGATGGGATCTTCGGGTGTCTTGTCTCCTGGTGCCAAGTGTTGGTCTCAGGGCTTTAGCAAGGCTATTCCCTTGAGGCCTTGAAACCATTCAGCAGAATCGACACTCTTATCCTGTTTTGCAGACCAGGAGTCTTTTGAGTCTTGGTGAGGTTGACTTCCTGCGCTAAGGAGGGAGTTAGTTGGTATTTAACTCTGTCTGTGCTGTTTTGCAGCTGTGGAATACAGTGACAGGCACTGCACAGTTGATGTAGTGTGTTTACTCAGCTTCCCGTCACTCTGACAGAACCTTGAAAGAATCAGCTTAAAGCAGGAAAGGCTGATTTGGTCACAGTTTCAGAGGTTCCAGTCCACGGTCGCTTAGCCTGTTGTCTTTGGGCCTGTGGTGGAGGAAGCCTGTTCACCTCATGGCTCCAGGGAAGCCGAGAGAGAGAGATGGGAAGGGGCCAGGGTCTCAGTAGCTCCCTTAAGGACATGTCCCCAGTGACCCAGCTTCCTCCAACTAGGCCCTGCCTCTTAAAGCTTCCCACACCTCCCAGCAAGGCCCAGGGCTGACAACCAAGCCAGTAACACCTGGGCCTCTGGGGGACACTTCAGGTCCAACCTACAGCAGCATATGAATACAGGTGTCAGTAATATGTGTTCTAATAAATTCTTGTACATAAAAATTTGTTTATCAGTGTGCAGGATCAGGACAAAAAACTTCAAGATTTATGGAGAACATGTCAGAAGTTGCCACCACAGAATTTTGTTAATTTTAGGTATGTATGATTGACATTCTATAAATCAAGTCTGCATGCTGCAGTGGTCCCGAAGTGAAGATGGGTTTAATCCCTGCAGAGAGGCCATTTAACTCAAGTGTACTTGGCCCATTAGAAAGCTTTGGGGAGGAAAGTGGGGCTGCTGGGAGTGGGGGTTGATGGACATTTTATGACGCATGTGATGTAGCATTAGCACGTCTGGAGCTAATAGGTAAGCTCTCTTTGTCATTTTGCTACTGCAGATATTGCAAAATAATTCTTGTGAAAACTCTAGGCAACTGTGAGTTCGGTTTGGAGTCTAATTTTATCCAGTATGTAAACTGCAAAGTTTAAGGATACTGATATGTTCTGTAATGTCTTTCATATATAAATAGAGCACAAATCACCCTACTGTGGAGAGTATATATTACTTTGTTAAATGGTTATGTTTCTAAGAAAGTTTACCATGGGATAAACCTCAGGAATTTAAGCACTGTTTTTCCTTTTGACTTACTTAATATATGACTTTGAAGGAGCATAGAACCAAGGGGGAGAGGTGGCTCTGGGAAAGAAACTAATTTAAAACGTAAGGAATTTTTCCAACATGACTTATTTAAAGACTGGCAATATGCCCAGGATATTACCTGACTTGAATTTAGTTTTGGGCTCTGTCATTAAACTAAACTAATTCTTTCCTTTTAATACCTTACGTCTGAACCTTGCCTCATTAGTGAACTGGTATCTGTAATATTTCTCATTGATTAATTTAATACACAGCTTGAAATTGCAACACTCTTAATCTGTTCAGTGCATTATGATGGGAACTCAAGTACAGTTCTTAATATGTGGGAATTTGACCTTTCAATTTGCGTATTGTGCTCTATAATTTGTACTTTTTAAAAATACCGAACATATTGACATAGTTCAAAACTAAATGTACACATTGAAAAAGTCTTCTGTTCCCGTCCCCCAGCCACCTAGTCCTACTCCTGAGACACAGTCAGTGTTTATAGTTTCTTATGTTCTCAGTAAGAGTCACTGCATATGCAAGCACATACATTCATGTATTCATTCTACACACATATTTTTTCTCTTATTGCCTACTTTTTGAAAAACCAAATGGTAGTGTGTACCATTGCCTTCTTTGCTTGGCAGTGAATACCTGTTGGAGATTTTTCAGTGTCAGTACATGATGATTTTGTATGGTTATATGGTATTCCACTGTCAGAATACTGTGATTCATTTAACTAGCTCCTGATACAGCTAGTTTATTCCTAATGTTTTTATACTACTGTCCTTGCACATAAGAGCATATATCTATTTGGTAAATTGGATATTTTCATAATTGCAAAGTAAAGTTTTCAAATACAGTTTCCTTTAAGCAGTATAGCTAGGCTTTTTTTTTTTTTTTTTTTTACTATATTAAAATGTATTGAGTGCCAGGCACAGTGGCGTATACCTGTAATCCCAGTGCTTCAGGAGGCTGAGGCAGGAGAATCACAAGTTCAAAGCCAGCCTCAGCAATAGCAAGGTGCTATGCAACACAGGGAGACACTTGTCTAAATAAAATACAAAAAAAAGGACTGGGGTTGTGGCTCAGTGGTCAGGTGACCCTGAGTTCAATCCCTGGTATCAATAAAAGAGAAAGAAAAAAAAAATATATATATATATATTGAGCCCATTGTTAGTCACAATGTAATATATTAGGGATAGAATAGATAAGATATGAATCAGAACTAAGTTAAAATATATAGCAAGGAGTGCGTATATCAAAGAGATTTACAGTTAAGCTATTTTTTCCTTTCAAGCCTTAATTTTTCACTTTTCTAAAACAAATTACATGAGAGATATGTAAAATGCTTTCCCTGAGCCAGACTCTGATGTGGGAACTCTGCAGTTAGCCTTTGAGTGAGCTGGGGTTGAGCACAGGATGGAAGGGTCATGTCTGCCGCTGTTTCAGAGGTGATGTGCTTGCCCCTTCTCTTTTTTTCCATAGGTATTTAATCAAGTTCCTTGCGAAGCTTGCTCAGACTAGTGACATTAATAAAATGACTCCTAGCAACATTGCGATTGTGTTAGGCCCTAATTTGTTATGGGCCAAAAATGAAGGGTAAGTAAACTTCCCATATCATAGTACTTCACCTCCTCCCTTCTGCCTGATGGGTAAACAGACTGATAACTCATGGTATGCATTTTAGATAAAGATGTTCTTTAGGATGTTTTCAAGTTGACTTTTCCATTCAGCAGATATTCTCAGGGCACAGCTGTAAGCTGAGCACTGTCCCAGATGCTGGTGACACAAAATATATAAGTCTTGTCTCTGTCCTCTAAGAGTCCCTGTTCCTGGGCAGCCAGGTAGCTCGGCACCTATAGTACAGTGTTGAGAGGATAGGGGGGAGAGAGAGAGAGAGAGAGAGAGAGAGAGAGAGAGAGAAAGAAAATGAACACACAACTTTACTTCCTTAGGGTCTCTGACTTGGCCTGAGAATCAAGTTGACATGATACAGATTAACAAGGGGAAACTATATAGGTTTTACATGGACATAGTAGCCCCACATAGGAGAGTGCAGACTCAAAGAGGTGGTTAGAGCTGGATGCTTTTGTACTGAGTTGGACAAAAGTAGTAAGTTGTGCAAGCATGACAAGACAAAGGGCCTTGGCTGGTCATTGTGGGCCCTGACTCAGAAGATGAAGATGAGTGGAACCAGGTTGGTTTGTGCAGATTTCCTGCTACCTCGACACCCTGGTGATAAAAATGTTTGTTTCCTCCTGGTTTTGGAGAGGACATCTTTCACATGCAAGTAATTATCTCGTACTTGAGGAAGAAAAGGGAAAATCAGAGTGTCCTTTGTTCATGGACCCTTTTTCAAATGCCTTTACTTCAAAATAAGCTTCAGGCCATAAGGGTGTATTTTGGGTGTCACACTCTGCCAGCCTTCCACATCACTGACTTCACTAAGCTCCATGGCAGCACTGATGAAGAGACAGTTTAAGCTGAGAAGCACAGGGAAAGCCTGGCTGGGAGTGGCCCCCGAGCTTCACTTGGGTGAACCAGTGTTGTCCTGCAGCTGGCACCTGCACCCACCCCCTCGGGTGTGCCCCATCGAATTTCAGAAAATATTTATAAGGTTATTCAGTAAAGATTCAGTATCATAAAGCAAAATTAAGGTAAGTAAATATACAGTTAGCTACATTGATCATATCTTATGGCAAATAAATTCCAGGCCGATTAAAGACTTAAGCAACTTAGTGAGGCTCTAAGAACCTAAGACTCTTTCTTAAAATAAAATAATAATAATAAAGAGGGCTGGGAAGTTAAGTGACTCAGAAGTAAGTGCCCCGGGTTCAATCCTTGGTACCAAAAAAAAAAAAAAGACTTATAAATACGGTTACATTTTTGTAACTTTCGGGACAGAGAAGGAATTTCTAAATATGAAAACAGAGCAAGAAGCAGTGCACTTAAAGTTGGTAATTTTGGCTCTCTACCAGATACCAGAAAGCCCCTTAAGCAAAAGCCTACTCAACCAGGAAGGAATCTGGGGGGTGTTGCTGAGGACTGAGCCCGTGCCCTCCTGACGGAGCTACGTCCCCTTATATAATAATAATTATTCATTTTCTTCCTTTTGTGATCTGGCACCAGACACTTTCGACTTCTGGGCAGTCATCTGGGGTCTAGAAAGGCGTATGGCAGGTGGTCTTCAGTGTCGCGCTGGGAGCTCATGTTTTTTGGGGCACGTTGTGGCAGCACATATTCTTGGGGACATTATAGGCAAAAGTCCTTTGAGATGATCTTAGGTCTTAGTATGATGTGGCTCCAGGGGGAAAAGGCAACCCTTGTCATTGCCCATCTTGAAACCAGCTTCACTGCTCTTAGGACCCTGTGCAGGCTGAGGAGGAATAATTGAGTTGGGGTCATTTTTCCTCCTGGGAGATGGTTAGGACCTTGTGAATTTCATTTTCCAGTGTATTTAAATATTTTAGCCTTTAAAAATAATGGAAATGCCCTGACACAATCTCGAAGTCAGAGGCTGCCTCGGGGAAGCATTTTCATTTTGTGAACTTCCTCTGCAGAACACTGGCTGAAATGGCAGCGGCCACATCCGTCCATGTGGTTGCAGTGATTGAGCCCATCATCCAGCACGCAGACTGGTTCTTCCCTGAAGGTAATCACCACTTCAGTTCCTCGGCTGCCAGGCAGTGGGCGATGGTTCAGCAGGTCTTCATAGTGATCCCAGATCATCTGGCTTCCTTTTCACACTTCTTTCCCCTCTTTGGTCCTTTTTGACATACTGATAATCCTTTTATTTTGTCTTCACTTGGTTTCACTAAAACATTCAGCCAATATTTAGTGAATACACTGCTGTGTGCTTGCTGGTGAGACATACTGTTCCCCCGGAGAAACTGGGCCCCTGGAGAAGGCAGCTGTGCAACAGATAAATTACTAGAAGGAGGGGCCAGAGAGAGGGGACAGACTCAGGCACGGGAAAAGGGAGCCAGGGAATGCTCTTGAGAAGAAATGACCTTGAGTATCCAGAAACCTTCCAGGGGGAAGAGGGCTTGTTGTCTCTCTGGCTAGATGGCTGGATTTGAGCAGAGGTGGAAGATAAAGCAGGAAGGGGCGACTGGGGCCCGTGAGTGAGGAGCCGAGTCCACCGTGTCAGGGAATTGGGATGTCATTCACAGAGGAGAGAGTTTCAAGCTACCTTGTTGCAGTCCTGGGACCCACAGAGCTTCCCACACTTCCTTGGTGGGTACTGGCTGGGTGTGTGCAGGGTCCGGACCTCAGCCTGGCTTCCCTAGAGCAGCCTCCCTTCCCATGTCCCCGGCAGCATGAGCCCCCTCACTCCAGGGTGGTGCTCATCTCTTCTCCACTGTCTCCCTGTCCTCAAGAATCATGCCTCCCTCATGTTGGTCACCTAAGGTACGGTGGCTGAGTGACTGTCAGCCTTCTGCCCAAGAGTTCCCTCCAAGAAAGGAATCTTGCAAAAGCAGCCCTTGATAGTCCTTTCATTTCTGTTCTCTATCAAAGTGTAAGTATTCCTCACATTTTTGATGATCAAATAAGTAATGTGCACTCGAGGTCCTCTTATGTTTTCCATGATTTCTTTTCACGAAAAGAGAAGCAGAAGAGCTGTGGGACTTCCATTCTGACTCCTGCCCACTCCCTGTCTCTGGTTCTCTTTACCTCCCTCTGGGTTGATCAAGTGTTCTTCAGGTGACAGTGCCAGAGCTGCCACTTTGTGAAGCAGTGAGGGCTTCAGGACTGAAGGGCGAGGTTCCTGTTCAGATGGGGTGCTTTGGCCCCCCACCCCACCCTGCCCGTGTCTCATGCTCCTGTTGGTTTCTCTTGCAGAGGTGGAGTTTAATGTATCAGAAGCGTTCGTGCCTCTCGCCACCCCAAATTCCAATCACTCATCCCACACTGGAAACGACTCTGACTCGGGGACTCTGGAGAGGAAGCGGCCGGCCAGCATGGCAGTGATGGAAGGGGACTTGGTGAAGAAGGAGAGGTGAGTTCAGACTGCCCAGGCAAGCAGAGTGGGTGGCAGTGAGGAAGATGGGGCCCTTGTTAGCTCCTGTGCACCCTCGACTGATCAGAGTCAGACCATTCAGGAATCAAGATGCAGGTCGCTCCAGGCACTAGTCTGATCAAGAAGTAGGGATGTGGCTTATCAGTTAACCGTGCTGTGCACTGCGCTTTCCCAATGGCCCGTGACACCCTCTACAGCGCCATGGCATCACACACACCTCACAAGCTCACCTAAATGCGTTGGACTGGCAGAAAAAGAGAGGAAGGAAAAACCAGTTGACAAGTAGGACAGTGGTCCATGACTGTATGTGAGAACAGGCCACATCTCACAGGGAGGTGGTGATTTTCTGTTTAAAAGAGGCACATTGTTGGTGTTACTTGGCCTCGCAGTGGAAGCCGACCACTGAACTTGGTGTTCAGCTGGAGAAATCACCTTGTTCTGGGGGGAAAATGTGGCTGTTCCAGTTTGGTAAGAGGCAGTGTGTCCATACTAGTCTCTGTGGGCAGTTTGTGAGATGGTCAAGGGTAATTGAGACTATGCCTTTTGGCTTCAGATGCCAGCTTGTCCCGTGTGTGTGATGAGATGTCCTGTATCCCAGGGCATCCTAACTGCTCGAGTTAGGAGGCCTGTGTGAAGTAACCTGCTTTTCCTGTGCCTATGTGATAATGTCACTAGAAATAGTTGACGTTAAAACTAAACAACACGCTCTTGTACTTGTTGCCCAATCTTAAATTTTATAGAGAGGTGTGTGGGAGTTGTCTTTTTTTTTTTTTTTTTTTTGCAGTACTGAGGATTGAACCCAGAGATGCCCTACCACTGAACCACATCCCTGGTCCTTTTTATTTATTTTTAAATTTCTCACTAAGTTGCTGAGGCTGGCCTCATACTTACTCAACCTCCTGAGTTGCTGGGATTAAAGGCATGTGCCACCATGCCTGGCCAGAATTCATTTTTTTTTAATGTAGAAGTTTCATTACCTGAACCCTCATCCACACTTTAAAGTAGTGATTCCTGGTGAATGTTATTTTGTCTATAACAAAATTAGCTTTTGTATATTTGAAGCTACAAACTGTGGTGTTACAAGTCCTATCACGTGACACAGCTCTGGGTTACCTGCCTGGGTAGACTCTCCCTGCCAGCTGAACATGAGCTCTGACACGCTTGCATCTTTTTTTATTTTCTGAACTGAGAAAAAGAGGTCTCAAGTTTATATACCTGCAGGCGTAAGTGGAAAGAGAGACTTCCTTCTCTCACCCTCCAGCCGCCATCTCCTTCCCAGAACTAGCTCTTTCCAGCACCCTTCCTCTTCACATCCTGCCTCTGCCTCTTCACTAGGATAGGAAGCAAGTCTCTGCCTTCATCCCAGTGAAGAGGCTGACAGTGTGGCAGCCTTACACTGCCCACTTCAGGATCCCGCTGCCGCCTCGTTTCCCAGGCAGGTTTGAGGTGGAGTGAGGAGTAGGGAAGCAAGCCCATCAGCATGGCTCCTCAAGGAGGCCTGCCTGTTGGCTTTCAGCCGCTCACTCACACCAGGTGGATCAAGGACTTTGATCACTCCAGGCCCTTTGGCTTTGCTCAGGTCTAGAGCTAAGTTGAATTGCTTGCTTTGGTGTTGGGGATGGCCATGTGTACGGTCCTCGTCACGTCCCTGCATGCCGGGCAACTTGGGCGGCTGTTCCCATGTGTGGTTTAACACATGTGGACTGTGGGCTTCTGTCCGGTAGTCGGCTTGTGTGCTGTGCTGACTGTTTCTTCTCTCTGTAGCTTTGGTGTGAAGCTTATGGACTTCCAGGCCCACCGGCGGGGTGGCACTCTAAATAGAAAGCACATATCCCCTGCTTTCCAGCCACCGCTCCCGCCCATGGACGGCAGCACCTCGGCTCCAGCAGGCCCAGAGCCCCCTTCCCAGAGCTCTAGGGCTGAAAGCAGCTCAGGGGGTGGGACAGTCCCCTCCCCTGCGAGCATACTGGAGCAGGGGCTGAGCCCGGGTGACAGCAGGTAAGGGAGCTGATTCTGCTGGCACTGGAGGCTGGATGCCCAGCCTTCGTGCAGGTGGTGGCCTTTGGGCATGGCATTCATGTCCAAGAGTCGTTCTGGTATAGAGTGAACCAGACTTGCTCTCACTCCCTTAATTGGCAAAGGGCAGAACAAAAGACTGCAAATGGCTTGCTTCCTTCTGTTTTCAAAAGAAGGCAACGTGTGCTTGTGTTCTTTGCCATTCTGCTCTGGTGCTGTAAACTGGAGGCCATAGGCATTAGCAGTATGATGGACCGCCTTTCACCTGCGTGATGTGTAGCTGTCACTGTTCATGTGTTGTTTGCTTGTCGTCACGCAGTGTGCTAACTAGCAAGCGTTTGAGTGTAGCAGGTCTGTCAAGGTATAGTATTCCTGACATTTATCACTCATTCTCTCATCCATTAATTCACCCAAACAGATTCCGAGACCTGAAACGTGCCTCCTAACTGGACCAGGCCTGCTAGTTAACCAGACCCTCCCCACCTTAGGATCGCCCTTGGAATCTTACGCACCGGGCCTTCCATTTCCATGGGGTTCTCTTCTCACAGATCCAACCAATCACACATCAAAAATATTTTTAAAATATTTCTTATGTTGTATTTTTTTTAAATGTAGACAATTTTCCTTGTCGTTCCTTAGACAATACAGTACAACTGTTTACACAGCATTTGCATGGCATTAGGTATTAGAAGTAATTTAGAGATGATTTAAAGTATATGGGATGTTATAGGTAGGTTATATTCAAATACTACACATTTTTATATCGGGGATTTGAGCATCCTTGGATGTTGGTGTCTACAGGGGTTCCCAGAACTAACCCCCCTGGGATGCTGAGGGATGACTGTATTTTATACTATGTTTAGCTCTTCTAGCAGGGAACGTCTGACATCTAACTTGACTTTTACTCCCCTTAGTCCTCCAAAACCCAAGGATTCTGTATCTGCAGCTGTCCCTGCACCAGGGAGAAATAGCAGTCAAATGACCAGTGGCCAAAGCCAGGCCCAGGCAGGTGCCAGCTCCCATCAGCTCTCTGTCGGCCTAGCTCACAACGCTGCTGGTCCCAGCCCTCACACGCTGCGCCGGGGTAAGTGACCCTCTGTGCTCGTTGCCCTTGCGGAAGGCTTCAGTCCCCCCCAGGTTGGTGCCAGGGTCCAGGTTGTGGGGCTTTGGGACGGATCTTTTCCTTATCTGTTATAAAATGGCAAGTAGGAAAATTAGTCATGAAAGAGAAAAAGCATTTAAGAAAAATAGGGGGAAAGTAGCAGAAAAGCAGACATTTAAGAATGTTTCCCTTAGGAGCTTCCAAGCTTAACCAGTAGAAAGCTGTTTCTCCAGAAACACTCCCAGTTTCCAGGCCTTCGCTCCCACTGGGACCCAGCACAGGGTCTGTACTGCTGAGCTCTGTGGGCTGGGAGTCACTATGCCTCTGATTTGGGGTCAGGGCTTCCTGGGTCCTAATTGACAACATGAATGGCTCCTGCCTGAGCCCCTTTAGTCCACCCAGCAACGAGGTGTCTCTTTCAAACATAGAGACCATGCCATCTCTTGGTGACGCTCACCTGTGGCCTCCTTGCCCCCTCCCTCCTGGACCCTGTTGGACTAGCCAGGACTTCTGAGCACCCCTCTTTACTCTCTTCTTTCTGCACTCCGCTCTCAGTTCCTTGGATGTGCTAAGTTCAGTCATTCCTTAGAACTTTTGCACCTGTTTTTTTTTTTTTTTTTAAAGAGAGAGTGAGAGAGGAGAGAGAGAATTTTTAATATTTATTTTTTAGTTCTCGGCGGACACAGCATCTTTGTTGGTATGTGGTGCTGAGGATCGAACCCGGGCCGCACGCATGCCAGGCGAGCGCGCTACCGCTTGAGCCACATCCCCAGCCCCTGTTGTTTTTTCTTCTGGAACATTCTGTCCCATATCTTCACGTGATCCTTCTCAGGCCTCAGTTTAAAGGGTCACTTCCTCTGTGAAACCAACCTCTCTCTACCATATACACAAGTCATTCTCTATGATGATACTCTTTTTTAGAGCATTTTTCTCGATCTACAAGTTTCTTTGTAGTTTATTTCTAGTCCTTCTGAAGCTCCTCAAAGACTCTTAGTGAGCTGAGTGCTCACCTGTCCCAGACTCTCCAGCATTCCCAGCCCTGTCCTGTGCTCGTCACAGAGTAGTCACAAGTGTGACTGCACGGCACACACTTGTGAGTCTGGGGGTGGAGTGCCTCTAGAGTGTGTCTAGAGAAGCTAGAGGTGATATTGTCCCCCCTTCCTGAAACATTCGGTAACATCTGGAGGCACTTTTGTTGTAATAGGTGGAGAGAGGGCTACTGTTGGCATCTTGTGGGCAGAGGGTCAGGATGGTGCTGAACACCCTGTAGAGCACCCGGCCCAGGTCGTCAGCAGTGCTGAGGTCAGAGATCATGGTCTAGAAAGGGGCCTGACTCAGTGAAGGTGCTCCTTAGCCTGATAGTCCTACAGGAGCCACCATGCCCCACATCCTAGCAGCTAGTTTATGGATGATCCTCACTGCAAAGTGACTTGTAGTTTTTAGTAGCTCAAAAAATAACAAGTTTATTGTAGCAGGTGCTGGTTTCATGTAGTGAGGAACATATTGCTGAGTCCATATTCTTCTTATCATCTTCTCTGTAACCAGGATTGGGAAAGTAGAATCAACACAGTTTATCATTGAATCAACATGTTTATCTATACTTAGTTGGAATGATGAGCATATAAACATGAAGAGTCCTTACAGGAAAAAATTCTAATGCCACACAAATAGCCAGGTGTCGGTCCATTTTCTGTTGCAATAACAGAATACCCAAGGCAGGCTGCTCTGTAAAGGACAGAGGTTTATTTTGGCTTACAGTTCTGGAGGTTGGGAAGCCCAAGGGCACCTTGCCAGCATCTGCGTAGCTTCTGGTGAGGGCCTTGTGCTGCTTCAGCTCCTGGTGGAAAGCGGAAGAGCAAGTGGGCATCTGTAGGGATCCTGTGTAGCTCACTTCTCATGCAGGAAGGGCAGGGGCAGCTCCCCCTCAGCCTCACCCTGCACGGCCACACCAAGGAGTTAAGCTCCAGCACACACACTCAGCGGGACACCCTCCAGCCATAGCACCGAGCATGTAATAATGTTGCACAGGTTATATGTGCAGGTGCAGGGGAGTTACAGCAAGACACGTGTCAGCCCCTGTGAACAGATAGAGGCAGGTCAACAGAGAAGAACCGAGAGTCCACCACAGGCAGGAGTGGGCCGCAGCACCACACAGGGAAGTCATCTGTCCTACTCCAGGGTCAGGGCCTTAGAGCAGCACATGACAAAAACCACTCAGGAGCAGGACCTCCTGGGCCCCTGTGTGGAGGTGCGTTAACCCAGCAGAGCCAGTTTTTTCTCTTATCAGATCTGTTCTTCAGCTGCTGGCTTGAGTTTAGGAACAGTGTCCAGTTCAATGTCCATGGGGCCACGTTCAGTGTCCAGGGCGGCTGCTTCTGTGTTCAGTCTATGGTGGCTGCGTTCTGACGACACTGCTCCTGTGCTCCCCACACTCCCTGAGGGCAGCTGCCCTGCACAGCCGTCTTCCCTGAGCTTGCCCAGCTTTGAGGGACACCCGCCTGACCTATCCACCTCTGTACCCCACCCCAGAATGTGTGTTTGGCCAGAGTCAGTCAGCGTGGAGCGTGCTCATGCTCAGACGTGTGTGGACCATGACCAGCCCTGGTGGCCACAGCCCATGTCCCCACCTCCCCAGGCTTTCCTCAGGCCTTGTTGCTCCTGCTTTGTGGCTGAGCTCCTGACACGTAAATCGGGTGACTGCACGGCACACACCTCAGTGACTGGTCCAGCTGTCCGCAGGGTCCCATCCTGCTCCAGTGAGAAGCAGAGGTGGTCAGTCTGGAAGGCAGCTGCCCAGCCGAGTGAGCTCGGGGCAGGCCAGCGGCCATGGAAGGGCCTGGGAGCAGTAGGGGCGCAGAGTAGCACTACCAGAAGGTGACAAGTAACGGCCACTACAGGCTTCCCACTGTGACGAGGTCACTTGGGGATGGTGGTGGTCACAGGAAGGAGGAATTCAGCGGGCAGTTGGGCTGCTCGCACCCGCAGGCAGTTGTGATGTGGGGAAAGGCTCTGGGGGCTCAGTTCTGGCTTTTGCCTAAAGTCGGCTAGTTGAAGGCTGCTGACCCAGAAATAAAGGTGCTGACCTCAGGGGACATCGTGAGGGTTAAGTTCAGTGAGTCCCCTGTGAGTGGAAGCACCATGTCTGCACAGCATCGCAGACCTTGGGAGGTCTGCAGGGAGAAGGCACGTGGGGCAGCTCCTTTGTCCTTCTCAAGGCCCTCCTACCCTCAGGCCACCTTCATGTGCACCCTTGACCTGAGCCTGCCTGCCTGGCCCTGCAGGCCTCAGCTTCCAGGCCGTGCCTCTTTCCTGGCTCCCTGGCCCAGGCTCTCAGGCTTCCTGGAGGCGGTTCCACCCCCACCCCCCACCCCGCCTCCCACATACTCTCTGGTCTTCTGCAGGCCTTCCCCAGCCCCACCCATAGCCCTGCCACTCTGCTGTGGCGCTTCTCTCCTGAGTCCTACTGTACCCTGAAATGTCAGGAATGACTTTCATTCAATATGAATTAAGTAAATATTACTTAAAACAGAAAATTGGACCTTTTTTAAAAGTTGCTTATGGCAACCAGGGTATGACTGATATTCCAGAGATCTCTTCCTTTATAAGCTGATTAGCTTTTTTCTGTGGGAAAAGGTCTTCTGAGTTCCAGTATCAAAAATTCTAGGCTAACATAGCAGAGCAGACTTCACCCTTGTCAACTCTGAATTCTGGGCTCTGTGAGCAGGGAGCAGGGACCCAAGCAGTGTAGGAAGAAGAAAGAGGATAAAGAATCCAGGGAGTCCGCTAACATGGGTGTGAATCTCTGTCCTGCCATTTACTCACTGTGTGACCTCTTATGAAATGCTTGCCCTCTCTGTTGCTCAGTGTTCTCCACTGTGAAATGGGTCTAACAGTGCTCAGATGGTGCAGGTGATGTTGGGAGAGTGACTCATGTTCCTCTGTGTCCTTCATTTCCTTCTCCCCTTCTTATGGGATCAGTGAGCTCTCAGCTGAAATCATGAAATGCTCAGGTCCTGGTTTCTTCCCGCCTCTCCCGGACACCAACGAGGTTCCAGATCTGTTTTCTCCATCCCATCCTCCTCAGTGTCAAGTTCCCAGCCAGAACCTCAGCTGTCAGGAGGAGAGAGATGGCTATCACCTCTCTTGAGAGAAATAATTCTAAGGCAGCTTTTCCAGATTTATTTGTACTTTTACCTATATTGTATCTGTTAACCCAAGTTATTCTGGAATCGATAGAATTTCAGTTATTAACAATAAGTCAAGCCCTCTGGGAGGAGCCGGCTTGGGGTCAGGCCACTGTGGGGAGGGGGGCCACCACGCCGCTCCCCCGCTTCTTCCCATGCTCTGGGGCACCCAGGGAGGGGCCTGGAGCAGCGTTTCCCTGGTGGTGTGGCAGCCTCTGATCTCTTTAAAATGACAGGTCACAAAGGGTCAGGTGTGTATAATGCACTTAATGTTTTGTAAATACATTGTTGGTTTTGTCATGATTTTTGATTTACCATGCAGTTGAGTTCCCACTCCCCTCCATGCCGCTTCCCCTGGCATCACTGTCTGACGTCACCAGGGTACATTTATCACAACTAAGGCACCAGTCTGGTTCCCAGCTGTTCATTAAACTCCAGTGACATCCGTCTCCCCATCCTGGAGGCCCAGTGCCGAATGCTCATGGTTTCCTCTGGTCTGTGGGTCTGTGACGCTGTCTCAGTCTTCCCTTGTGTTGGTCTGACTTTGGCCACTTGAGGAGGGGTGGTCAGGCGTCTGGAAGGAAGTCCCTCCTTTGGTGTTGGTCAGCTGGCCTTCTGGTGGCTGGACTGGGGCTCCAGGTCCTAGAGAGGGAGACAGCAGGCACATGAGGTCAGCACCGCTTGTCCCTGTCTCCAGGGACAAGCTCCTTGGCCTTGCTCCTTGCTGAGGTGGTGCTGGCTGTCACTCTGCTGCTATTACTAAAAGTTCTTGTTTCTCCTTTGTGCAGCAGTTAAGAAACCTGCTCCAGCGCCCCCAAAACCGGGAAACCCGCCTCCTGGCCATCACGGGGGCCCGAGTGCTCCAGGAGCGTCTCAGCTTCCACCCAGCCTGTCACCAAAGCCATCCGCTCGAAGTCCGTCTCCTCCCCCACAGCACACAGGCCCAGCCCCAGGCCAGCCCTTGGCCACCTCCCAGCTCTCTGCACCCCGGAGGTACTCCAGCAGCCTGTCTCCAATACAAGCACCCAGCCACCCGCCGCCACAGCCGCCCACCCAGGCCACGCCGCAGGGGCACAGCAAACCGAGTGGCCAGGGCCCACCCACCTCCATGACACTGCCCAGTGAGCACGGACTCGAGCAGCCACCCCACACCCCTCCTCAGACGCCAACACCCCCCAGTACTCCACCCCTAGGAAAGCAGAACTCCAACCTGCCAGCTGCTCAGACCCAGGTGGTGAGTAACCCTGAGGCTACGCAGACACATGCTGGAACCCTGCCGAGACCCAGGCCAGTACCAAAGCCGAGGAACCGACCCAGCATGCCCCCGCCCCCCCATCCTCCTGGCGCCCACTCTGCCGGGGACAGCAGCCTCAGCAGCGCAGCACCAACAGCTTCCAAAATAGTGACAGGTAAGTAGGAGTCACTCTCCCCTGCCAACCATGCTGGCCCCCAGCCAGGTGCCGTTGAGGTTTTATTGGCACACAGCCACGCCCAGCAGTCACATCTGGTCTCTGGCTGCTTTTGTGCTAGAACAGCAGAGTGGTGTGGTCGTGGCAGGTCACGTGACCTGCAAAACTGAAATCCACAGCCTGAGCTTGAAGTTGGTTCAAGATTTCTAGTCGTATTACATATGTCAAATCTATCTCCATTTGCTTGTTTCTAAATGTGATGACTTTTAATCCAGGTTCTTAGTAAAGACATTCATAGTGAATGAAGAATTTCAGGTATAACTTTAAAAATCCTGATCATGCCAAGTTGAATGAGGTGGAAGGCAGGTCTCAGAGCCTGATCCTAGCAGAGTGCCACCTTCCAGTGGCACAAGAGGGAAGAATTGAGATTCCCTGCAGCCCCAGTGCCAGCCTGTTTTGAGAGGGGATGGTTGTGTGAGTGGAGCAGACCCCTAATGGGATCTCCTGCAGGAACTCGAGAACACGACCATTTTCTTTAATCACATTAAAAACCATTTTCATCTCAGATACTCAAATTCAATATTTAATTTTAAGTATGAATAGATTTTTAGTGTTTTAAAAATGGCATTAGTAGCTCCACATCAATTCTTCCAGCTATAGATTATTCAAATGGAGGCATTTTTGGAGAAGCCACTGAAATATTCCTCTGGGCTCTCCAACCATCCCAGGTGGCTTCTCAGTGGAAAATGAGCCAACAGTGCACCCAAAATGGGGACCCAAGATGATAAGGTTAACCAACTTCAAATAATATCTTTCAATAGCTTTATTTCCCCCCAGGAATGTGATGCCTCGTTTGTACATGTTATCAATGGTTAATGACTTTTCTTATGACACCAGTGTTATTTTGAAAACCACAAAGCCACAATGGTTTGTTTGCTTGTTTGTTTCCCAATAGATGTCCTTCCTAGTGCCCTCACAGGTGGGGAAAGTGTCCAGGACTAAGGTCTGTACCCCGCAAGCAGCTTGACCGCAGCTCCAATGCTCCTGCTAAGCCATGTTTCGTGTATGTGCTTTGGACTTTGTGCTCCAGAGTGGCCCTTGACCCGCGCGATGGCAGTCAGCAGGCCGTCCGTGCCATAGCATGTGGTCATTCCTCTTGTGTTTATCAGAAGCACTTTGAGCTGCAGTGCTCCAAATCCGGACGTAGATGTCAGTAGAGGGAGAGCTGCTTTCAAGCTGTTCACGGAGGATGCTAAAACTTTTCTCTCCTGTTGGTAACACAGCCTGATGCTCTGCCCAGTGCAGTTGGCCTCCCACTGACTGACTCATCAGCATCCAACCAAGAGGACTCAAGTGACAACAGCACAAAAACTTGTGTCCCTTAAGTCCTAGCTTTATTTTATTTTTATTTTATTTTTTTCAATCTTAAGTGCAATCTTAACTGCATGGAGCTTCTTAATTGATGTCTGAAATTCTCAGGACCGGGGGGAAAACCAGTCTTCCCCCAAGATCCTTTACTGAATTCCTTGGAATCCCTTTGTAATCCAGCATGCCTACATTTTGCTTTCTTAAACCACAATGAGCTTTTTAAAAGGCGCTGTGAAGCTCATCTGAACCTGCCCTTGGACCCACATTTGCTCAGCAGAAGCCTCTCGTTAAGAGTGTGATTGCCTTCATCACAGCCAGAAGCATTTTATAGGCCATGCAGTAAGAGCACCCCAGCTTCTGCTCGAGCAAGACTCCTATAGGCAGCACAAGGGAAGGCTAGAGTGTGACTGAAAACACGGGGGAGCCACAGGCCTGAGCCCACCTTCCTTATTACCTGGTGACTGACCTGAGTCTGGGAGTGCCCAGTGGGTGTGGAAATCGTTTACAGTGTAAAGTAACTGAGCCATAATCACTGTTAAAGGATTAACACTTTAGTACTTGTGGCACACCAACATTTTATTTCTAGATCTTTTGTTTTTATTTAGATGGAAGACTACAAATCAGAATTCCATGTCTCCTTTAATAGAGTCCTTACCTGGGTTGTGTTTATGCCAGAAGGTTGTTCTGTTGATCAGCCACAACACTGCAATTCACTGTGCTTTGTAATTATTAGGCAAAATTTTCCACTTAAAAGTAACTTTTCCATAAGATATTAGCTAAATATTTAAAAGCCAGTCTATGCTGTGAGTTCTCCTAACACAAGACTCCAGGTCACCACAATTGCCTTTGTATTACAGAATTAACCTTTAACATCTTACAATCCCCTGGATGCCCTTGGATGTACACAGAAAGCCAGCAGTTAAGAGTCCAGGAGCCCACAGGGGTTGGCTTGCCTATTAGTGATTCTCGAACATAGCACTGGGCTTTTACAGAAGGTAGTAACTTCCTTGAGCAGGGTCCTGTACCATGGCATCTTGTTTTCACTTGGAAAACTTCAGATGGGCAATTTCCTGAAAATAGGCCCTTCATTTAGAGTATTTCATCTCAAAGAGCTGATACGAGGATTCTGGGATCAAGGTCAGCTCTCCGGGGATCACTGCTGCCACACAGGCTTGGTGGCCAGTGTCTGGCAGCTCAGCACAGAGCAGAGCTCTGGAGAATGGAGGATCAGTAGGGTTTTAACTTCCCAAGGGAACAGTGTTCATCTTGCTGTGTTTAATAAGTTTTAGCAAAGAGTATTCTAATTTAAACATTTTATTAAATAATTTAGATGTATGACCTGCCATATTCAGTCAGAACTGAAATTGGAATATGTAATGGTAAGGAAAAGGCACCTGATTGGCCAAAGCATTTTTGCTGCTGTCTGATCATATTTGTGCACTAATGCCTGTTACTAACCAGTCTCCCTAACCCTGCCTGCTTGCACCCCTACTAATAGTGCATGCACTAAGGAGGGCGGCTTGTCCATGCTTGCTGTGAGTCATCCTGAGTACTAAATGTGTGCACAGATGTGGATCAGGTGCCACAGGGCCGGCCTCATGACTTCTGTGACTTCTATTCTTTCCTCTATTGAACAGGCTTGAGGTGTAGTAGAAACACATACACTGCACCGTCAAGCATACCTAACTTAGCATTTTAGCTCTCTGTTACACTGGGCAGGGGACAACCTGGTTGACCTTGGAAGTGGTGACACCTGGTAGAACTGATGAGGGGATTAAACTCGGTGAAATAGGAAGCACCTGTTACAGTTCATAACACACAGGGTCAAATCTATGGCAGTTGTTTATTACATTTATCTAGACGAAAATGTTTTAGATCAAAGTTACATATTAGATGGATTCCTAAGTCAACGTTTATAGAACTTACATGCCCAGACCCAGCCTTCTAGGACCCAGAGCCAGGAGGTCAGGAGTAGGGCTCCTGTGTCCATATTTCAATTTCATGCGCCACTTGGTTTTCCTATTAGTGTTTTTGTGGGTTAGGAAGACAATACCCTGCAGGAGAAGACATTCCTTCCTGTAGGCAGAGGAGTTAGGCGAATACCCAGGGCCACAATGACGGAGTCGCTCTCAAATGCCCCTAACACTGGGCAGTTTGCTGGCTCTCCAAGCGTCCTCTTTTAAAAATCAAACTCCTTATATTGTGAAATAATACATTCTTTAAAAATAGTATGGATATAAAAGGAAATTTTGAGAAATAGAAACAATAAGAACTTACAGTTCTATAATTGGGGAAGTCTCTTCTACTTTTTAAAAATTCTGGTTTTTCTGAAGGCAAGGAGGTGTGTGGTGACAATTATTTTGACGTATACAGATTTTGATCCTGTGTTATTTTATTTTACATCTGTGGTCTTTGCCATCTATGTTAGATGACAGCATAATATTTCATCTAGCAGATGGATCAGTACTAAGTGGCTTGTTCTTCTATTGGCAGTTTACTTTTAACAAGTAGATAAGAGAAATCGTGTCAAGTTAAATATCCAGTGAGACTTGAACAGAACCTCTCCTAGAATAATAAAAAGCTGAGCCAGTGTCTTTCATGGATAAGGATATTGTTTGTAGTCTTAAGGAGTGGTGAGGCCTAGAAGGCAGCCGTGCCTTTGGTCCCTGGGTCAGAGCTGAAGGATGGACAGTGGCGGTAGGGCTTGTCCACTCTGCAGCTGAGCCTGAAACTCTTCATTTCAAGAGTGGATTTGGATCCACTTGGTCTCAGATAACCTTGCCCTCTTGAAAGATAGATTTATGACCAAAAGCACCCACTCAAAATCGCAAGGGTGACCGACTGTCCTAGAATCATACCCTAAGTATCAGGTTGCCAGTATAGGCCCTCAGAGGGCCTGCTTCCTGGAGGGAGACACTCGGGTCAGGAGGACCTGGGCTACGTGTGTCAGAGGCCCAAACCCAGGATGAACCATCTCCATTCTGCCTTTGGGCTGAGTCCGGTTACTGGGAGTCTTTTCCAGTTTCTTGGTGGTTGTTAGCATCTGTTGTGAACTTAATTCCAAGCAATATGCACAAAGTCCAGCCCTTCGTGGAACGCAGATAGTGTATATATTCATAGGCGGAGGGTTGGAGAGACTTGGATTCTTTCATCTGTCTTTAAAATAATTTTTTCTCCTTTTTATTACAATGCACCAGAAAGTTTAAGACTGAAGCCATTAGCTCCTCAGGTGACGTCTTCTTTTTCAGGATCCTCACTCAAGAGCTTCCACACTCCCTTAGGGAGGAGAAAAAGCATTATGTATATCATAGCCAGACTCTAGCCATGTGGCTTCAATCCCTTCAGACCTGCACTCTCCCGTCCCCTGGGACAAGGAGCAGAGCCCTTGAGCGGCTGTCTGCCTCCCCTCTCTCCCCAGTGGAGTGGTGAGGGTTGATTGGCAGGGTGCATGGGGAGCATTTAGCAAGCCCAGTGAGTCCTCATGACTGGCGTACTCCCTCTCAGAATCCTCGCTGCACACATTGCCTCCCTCCTTCCTCCTCGTTGTGTGCAAACAGACCCATTGTTTGCTTTCACAAAATGATACACGGAAAAATGAGAAATGGGCTTGGGGAGCCGGGGGGACGGACAAGAGCAGGTTGAGGGATTTCCCTAGGCCCTACTACACATTTTCCCCCGATATAGAATTGTCTTCATTATAAATAGAAAAATTCAGAGAAATAAAAATGGAGATGTTGTCCATGATGTGTGAGGTCTTATATGTAAATATAGATGTTAACAAGTAGAAACCCAGTCCGTATGTACAGGGTCTTTGCCTCGCTCATGCCCCCCAGGTTCCTTGTCAGCTCTGGGGGCTGAGAGGAAACACTGCTGCTTGGCACCATCTGTATTGTTGGGTCGGGACGACAGGGAAAAGGTTTACAATTTCCAGTGGTTTTTTTGTTCCACTGTTGCCTTGAGTCCTGGCTGCAGTTGCCTAAGGACATTTAAGAAGGGAGGGTTGGTCATACAGGATGACTCTTCCATGCAGCCATCCAAGTGTCCAGCCACGATGTGTGAAGTCTGCTGTTTGTCAGTGGTGCTTCTAGGTACTGAGGATGTACTGTGAACAAGACAGATGTGCACTCTGTCCTGTTGACTTCCATTCTGCTGAGGACCATTCTGAGACATCCTCAGTTCTGTGCACACAGACTGCTTCTGACTGTGCCATTGTACAGAGCGCCTCAGCCCAGTGCAGTGGGATTTATAGTTATCTTAAGACCTAAATTGTCTGAAATGACATTGAGCGCTTGAATTCTTTAACACACAGGCTCCTCCATAAATCTAGGAATTTGAGTTGTGATGCACGGCAAACCCTGAGGGACAAGTCTGCCAACCCTCCTAGAAGTCACTGTGAGGAAAGGGGTGCCCCAGGGAGAACTATGGGGACAGGAGTGTGGAAGGGGTTGGGGACAGGGGTGAGTCTCAGAGCCGTGAGAAGGTGCACCAGCATTTGCCTGCTGTGTCTGCGTGGATGAGGAGCTGGGGAGACAGAGGCACTATCAGAAACAGCTCCAGCAGGGGCAGCCTGTGCCAAGAGCAGGGAGAGCCGCCTTCAGCCCACCTGGGAAGTGCTCCAGCAAGCCCACCTTCCATGTGGTTCCCTCCCCGCACCCTCCAGGACAGCTCTAACCTGACAAAGTAAAATCACAACATAGCCAAACATTTCTCTTCCCTCAAATACCTAACAGAGCTTTTCTCATAATTTGCTAGAGCTCACCTCTACCTGACACTGAACCTTAGGGTTGGGCCCCCCACTTGTCCACAGGCTTCATTAACACTGTGTCTGTATTGTTCACTGTTGTGTCCTCAGCAGGTAGAACATGGCATGTGGTCAGCGCTCAGTAAATATTTAGTATTTGTTCATGAATGAGTGAATTTAGGACCCACTAACCTCTCTGGGAAGAGAGCTGTGGTGGATTAAGGTGTCTTATCAGCATGAGCATGAGGGACAGTGGCTTGAGAACCATATATTTTCCATCTTACTAAAAGGAATTCTGGGGCTGGGAACTTGTGTAACTCATGGTAGAGCACTTGCCCGGCATGTATGAGGCCCAGGGTTGCATCCCCAGCACTGGAGAGCAGGGGAGGGGGAGGGATCAACCAAAAGAATTTCAGCCAACATAATAAGACATGAAAAGGGAATTTGATGTATAAGTATTAGAGAAAACTAATATTTATAGGAGATTTGGTAGTCTACTTCAGTTATTGTCAACCAGGGATGATTGGGCCCCCAGCAGACACTTGACAGTGCCTGGAGACTGTCAAGACAGTCACCCTAGGGGAAAAGAGCCATCTAGCATTTAATAAAGTAAAGTCCATGGATTCTGCTCAATATCCTATAATGCACAGGACAGCCCCACAACCCAAATAATTCAACCCCAAATTTTGCTAACCCAAGGTTGAGGTCATAGCATTGGTAACAGGAGGAATCCCTGCTGATAGGAGATTTCATCTAGTGCATCAGAGGCCTTGCTAAGGAAGAGGTTTCCTTTCTTCAGTCAGAAATCCTCTGAGGGCTGCCCAGGCTCACAAGAAGGAACACCAGAGGGGATTGTGCCATGAGGGCCACTTTCTGGGATCTCCAAGGCTTGACTCAACTTCTCAGGGCTGCTGAGGTCTCTAGCAGGGGACTATGTGCATGGGCTGACTCACCTTCCCAGCCTCGTCCCCGGGGCTCCCACACGTCGCCCCTCGTTGATACCATGTCTCCTTGTGTTTTTCTGTCCAGACACCAATTCTAGGGCTTCAGAACCGCTTCGCAGCATCTTTTCTGAAATGCACTCAGACTCCGCAAACAAAGACCTGCCCGGCCACATTCTGCTGGATATAGACAATGACACGGAAAGTACCGCCTTGTGAAGAAAGCCGCTCCCAGCCGTCCCTCCCACCCTGTGGGCCGGAACCAGGCTGGGCAGACCAGACAGTGAATAGCTTTCAGTGGAGGAGAAAGGTCCTCCCACGCGGGACCTGGCCTTTTGCACAGCCCAAGGAGAGCGTGGAGGCCCACACTTCAAAGCTGCATGACCTGGGTCTTGAAGAAGTTGGCTTTCTTTACCTGGGAGGGCAACCATGGCAAAAAGTCAAAAGCAAAGAAGAACCAGGAGAGGACCAGCCTTCCTGCTGAGCAGTGCATAGGAAGCTTTGGCCACTGCTGTGAACGCAGGTGGCACCCACAGCAGCTTGGAGCGAACGAGAAGCAACGCGCCGTCTATTTAATAAAACCCTCAGCCATGCAGGTCAGTGCTGCTTGCTACTGGGGCGTTCACCCTCGTGTACCAGGAGGGAGCCCCTCCTGCAGACTTTCTGCAGAACCGTTTTGTATTAAGTCTGGTCTGTGTCTTCCCAGTCCCCTCAGAACCGTGAGCATCGATGGTGACTGCTGGATCTGTCACCTCATCAAACTGGACGTGACTTGTGCCTTGTCAGATTTCCAGAATGCAGAGAAATGTACTGTCTTTTTTTTTTTTTTAAACAATGTAATTGCTCCTTGATATGGACCGAACATTATTCTAGTTTCATGTTTAATTTGAATTAAATATATTCTGTGGTTTATATGAAAATTTGATAATTCTTGGACGAAAACTAGAGTGTGTGTGTGTGTGTGTGTGTGTGTGTGTGTGTGTACACGTACGTACACACGTGGGTGCATTTTGTCACTTAGCCAAGTAGAATTGCTGATGGGTCATCTTAGGAGGTCCAATTGTAACTCAAAGCATTTGAAAAAATAGAGTGAAGTCGCTGCAGTGAAAAAGGCCACCAGGCTCCCCCAGACCTCCAGGCTGAGTGTCCTGTGGCTCAGGCTGCTCTCGGGGTCTCACCAGTCCCCATCCCCTTTCTTGTCCCTCGAGGGACATAGACGGGGGGTGCTCACTCTCAGAGACTCGGCCTCCACAGGGCCAGGAAATACATCAGCAGCTTTAACTGCCACAGGAGTCCCCTTTTCAGGGACTGGGATGCCTTCTTGCCCTGCCACATCTTTCCCAGGATTGAAACCCTTGAGAAGAGCAGGTGGGGAGTTGGAGCCAAATGAGGCTGCGGTCTGAACCACTGTTCTCATGAAGACCCCTCCCCAGGGCCACATATGCACAAAGGGGGACACACTGCTAGGGCCGTCCATTGTTGGAGCTGTCAGCTGGGAGTGTCAGTGGCCTGCCCCTGGCTTGGGAGACACTGAATTTCCTTTTATCATGAACTTAAACCTGGCTTGACAGGAGCAAATCTGCACCTGTGATCCCCCCATTTGTTAAGTTTCTGTCTGCTCCAGACGCACTCTTCCTTCCTCCCCCTTAGCTATAGAACAAACGCTGCCTAGGAGGATTCTGTGCAGGCTGGGGCTCAGTGTCCAGCCCCTTCTCCATGGCGCCCAGCTGTGCACGGCCGGAGTCTGTCTGCAGCACCTTGGAGATGTCTCCGGAGAGGTCTCCACTGGGATGCCCAAGCCGAGCACTCGGGATGCAGGGATGCAGAACACGTGCTTGTCAAGGGGACAGCATTGACGTGCTCCCTGCCTGCAGCAGGTGTTTGTTATTGATGATTCTGATACAGGACACACCAAACCCTCATTTTAAGGGCATCATTCAAGTTTATTCTGTTTTATTCTGTTGTCCGTGGCTCTCTCCTGACCCGACAGCTCCAGTCTTCGTAAAAATGAAAACTATTTGATGGGTCAAAGGTAAATACCAAACAGAAGCTACTGTTAATCATCTTTGGGGGGATGAGCCAGCAGGGACCTGGTGGCTCAGAATTGGATGTTCTGAGCTGTCACTGTGTCAGCTGAGGGTGGATCCTCTTTGTCATTCTGGAGCCTACAGTCCCTCCTGCTGTGCTTGTCACCTTGGCAGGCTCTTTTCCCCTCCCCACTGCTCTAAGTGGGCCAGAATCTGAATCCAGAGCCAGCCACCCTGGCCATCCAGAAAGGTGCTGGTTTCTAGAAAGATCCTGCTGGTTATCTGACTTCCTGATTGCTTCCTTTCCTTCTTTCACAATTTCTTAATGCTCTAGCCCTGTGTGGCAGACCTTTTGTCCCTGCTCCTTCTGCCTCTGCTACAACACCAGTGTCCGAGCTGTTCCCCTCACCACGCCCTGCAGCTCAGCACCCATGTGTTTAGTCCAGTACTCTGAAGGCCACAGAGGTTCAGAGAGGAGCCCTGGCTGCCCTGATTGTGCTGGGTTCTGCCCCGTGGTCACTCCAAGAGTTCAGAGGTGGTTGGAATGGCCCAATCCCTGGACTGTCTTATGGCCCTGGTTCCCAGGGATCTCATGGATGGACCCCTTGTTCTTCTTGGGGCTGTAGTTCCCAGTGAGTTCATATTTGAAGGTATCAAAGCCTCCTCCTGGTTTTTCTTGCTGAGGCCCACTTCCACCATTCCCCACCATATTCTGGGGCCTTCCCCTCTTCTTCTTTCAGGATCTTCCGGGTCCTGCTATGTCTTCACTCCAGGTGTCTCTGGGACCTACAGTCTTGGGGTCTCACAGGAGACAGCAGTCGTACTCATTGACTGGGATGTTTCTAGACCAGTGGCTTCCACTTTTTCCCTATGACACGCGTGGAACTAGGGAGTGAGTCCCCCAGCAAGACAGACTGAGGTCACCATTCATTAAACAACATGTAACCACGGTGACATCCTGGTAGGGCTTAGATGTGAGGTGTCCACAAAAGCTCATTCGTGAGACAATGAAGGAAATTGAGAAGGAAATGAATGGGTTAGGAGGGCCTTAACCTAATCAGTGCATTAATCAGTCCCCTGATAGGGACTAGCTGGGTGGGGACTGGAGGCAGGTGGGGTGTGGTGGGAGGAGGTGGGTCCAGTGGGGGGATGTCTCTGGGTTTCTATTTGGTCCTTGTAGAGCAGAGCTCTCTCTGCTTCCCAGTGCCGTGTCCTCAGGTGCTTGCCTCCACCACACACTTCCGCCATGACGTTCTGCCTCCTCTCAGGCCCCGAGGAATGGAGTTGGTCACTGTTTTAGTCAGATTTTTCACTGTTGTGACTAAAAGACCCAACAGAACAGCTTTAGAGAAGAAAAAGTTAATTTGGGAACTCATGGTTTCAGAGGTCTTCCTACACAGCCAGCCAGCTCCATTCCTTGGGACAATGTCATGGTGGAAGAGTGTGGCAGAGGGAAGCAGCTCACAGGATGGTCAGGAAGCAGAGAGGTGGAGACCTCTCCACTTGCCAGGTACAGATATATACCCCAAAGCCACGTCCCCAGTGCCCCACCTCCTCCCCCACACCCCACCTGCCTTCAGCTACCACTCAATTAATCCCATCAGGCGATTAATTCACTGACTGGGTTAATCCTGACTTCAATGAACCTTTTTGCAGTGTCTCTCACATGAGCTTTTGGGGCACACCACACCCAAGCCATAACAGTCATCTATGGACTGAGACCTCTGAAACCATGAGCCCTCAAATAAACTTTCCCCTCAAATCATCCTTGCCAGGTCTTTAGTCCCAGCAGTGAGAAAGTTGACTAGAACGTATCCCATCACCGCCACTATGTTCTGGCAGAAGCAGGTCACAGGGTCTGTCTATACCCAAGGATAGGGAATTAGACAAGGGTGTGAACCACAGGAGGTAGGGATCATTGAGGGTCACCTTAAGGCCCATCTGCCACACACTTTGAAACATCATTGCTAATGTCACTCTTGACACAAGAGCGAGTTTGATACGTGGAAGAGCACTTCACCAACCTTGTTTTCATCCTTTGTGCACATCAGCAATGAACGTTTCCACATACGCACCCTTAGCACTGAGCCAGGTCATGGTAACTCATTCTGTGTCCTGCAGGTAAATACTGAGGGCTTACTCTTCACATAAACCGGCCTGGACCCCGGAGAACTAACATGAGTCATAGAAACAAAGATGTTGCTGAGAGCGCATGGGCGTAAGCACATCTTAGAGTGCTGAAGGTGCTGGTGGACAGTCCAGAGGAAGGAGGTGTCTCCTGCAGGGGCTGAGTGGAGGCAGCAGGGAGGTGGAGCCAGAGCGGGACACAGAGGTGGATCCAGAAGAAGAGGTGGGGCCAGAACAGGAGGTGGAGCTGGAGCCAGGGAAGGGATGTGGCCAGAGCAGGAGGCAGAGCTAGATTTAAATGGCAGAAGGCCAAGCTAGAACCAGAGATGGAGATGGAGCCAGAATGGGGGGCGGGGCTGGAGCCAGAACGGGGGGCGGGGCTGGAGCCAGAACAGGAGGCAGATTAGGAGCTAGAGTCAGAAGAGGAGGTGGAGCCAGAGAAAGGGTGGAGCCAGAGAAGGCACGGCCAGAGCAGGAGGCGGCAGGAGGCGTGGCTAGAGTCGGAGCACAGAGCAAGGAATGGGCTGGTGAAGTCAGGAGGATCTAAGCCAGAAGGCCTTAAATCCTGTACTCAAAAGCTTTCCCAAGGATAGTAGGGAACTGGGGAGAGGAGGAGGGGGAGCTGCAAGTTCCATTTGTGTTTTAGATATCTGACTATGGTGCAGAAGCGGGACTGAGGCAGAGGCAAGACTAGAAACAGGGACCAGCCTTGGAGAAGAGCTACACTGGCCTAAATCAAAGCGAGGCAGTGGGAAGGGAGTGGCGTGGACATGTTCAGAGCATGGACCAGGACCTAGGAATCAGTGTTTGACCACGTCCCGCTGGCCCCTTTTATGCCATCCCCTGTGCTAAGGCACAGAGGTGAGGGGGAACATGTGAATGTGTTATGACCTTCAGCCGCCAGGGAGACCTTGCAGAGCACAGAGACCTAGTCATTAGAGGCCTTATGTTTCCTACAGGAATGTGGGCTTCATCCTGAGAGTCACTGAAAGGATTCAAGGCAGAGAGATCACTGGATCAGATTTGCTCTCTGCCTGTGGCTGAAAAAGGGGCAAGATTACAAGTGGGAAGGCCGGTCAGGCTGCTGGTGGCAGCAATCTCAGGAGAGACGGCAGTGGCTTGAGCCGTGATAGGAACAACTTCCGCTGAAGCGTACTTCTGGCCCCAGCCAGAGGCAGCAGGAGTCTGTGTTCAGGTCAGCGCAGGAGCTGCCGACTCCACTGGACAGCCCTGTGCCTCCCACTCCTCTCCTTTGGCCCCTGGAGAGGCAAGCGCAGCCTGACCCGCACAGATTGTCCCCGGAGTTCTCTAGCCTCCAAAACCATCTCAGACTCCTGCAGGGAGCCTGTTACAGGGTCTGGGTAGGAACAACATTAGCAACCAGGCCCCAGTATCTGCCCCTTCCTGTGTGGCCTCAGGGCGCCTTTTATCAGCCCAGAACAATCATTTGGGTTAGTGTGGAAAAGCCAGGCCTTCTAACAAGGGGAGGCTCTGGGCTAATACAGGTACCTTTGGCCCAGGTATTGAGCACGACTAGGAACTCAAAAGAGATCACTGAGTGACTAGTAGGAGGGGGGATCCTCGGCCCCAGAGGCTCCTGTTTTCTTTTGAAGTCTGGAAATTGGGGACCTTGGAGAGACCACTCCACTTTCTAGCTCGGTCAGGCCAGTAAATCCCTCTACCCACCACTGTCCTTGATCCAGGGCTGCAGGGCTCTTGTCCCTGGTCTTGCTCTTAGCCATGCACATGACAAACACA